AGCCTCCCTAAAAAATCATTCACATTTCTTACAGAATTCTTCTGTACCGAGTGCTGCATTTCACATTACAAGTTGATACTATTCTCTGGCACAGAATAGCTTTGCACATAGTCCTGCAAAGTCATGACTCCTAGAACACAGAACTATCTACTTCTCTGAAGACACTGAATACTGTTTATGAATAAGACACACAATGTAGTTTAAAAGCAGTAGATACAAAGTAGTGATTAAAAGAGAAATGGTAAAAAACTAAATCACTTGTATAAAAACAGCTATAGAAGAATTGAATTGTTTACCAACATAGTTTAGGTGTGGTTATAACAGCAAAACAAATACTGTTAAGTGAAACAAAAGAACACCATTCCATTAAGTTTTTCATTTATTTGGGCTTTTAGCCTTAACAAAGCAGCTGCCACCCTTAGGAACATTTGTAAATCCTACAGGCCCATAATGTAGACAGAGTCTCAGAATTCCCAAGATTGGAAGGGACTTCTGGAGATTCTCTTTTCCAACCACCTGCTCAAGCAGATACACAAGCAGGTTGCCCAGGACCACAGCTAGGCAAATTATGAAGATCTCCAAGCTGAAAGACTCCACAACTGTTCTGGGCAACCTACACTAGTGCTCAGGCATCTGCACAATGCAGAAGCACTTCCTAATGTTCAGAAAGAACCTTCTGAGTTTCAGTTGGTGTTCACTAGTTCTTGTCCTGGAACCACAGAAAAGACCACTACAGAAAAAAAAACCTCTGGCTCTACCATTTTGGCACCTTCCCTTCAGGTATTTATAGACATGGATGAGATTTCCCTTTGAGCCTTCCCTTCTCCAAACTGAAGAGCCTCAACTCTCTCAGCCTGTCCTCATTGCTGAGATGCCCCAGTCATTTCATCATCTTGGTAGTCCTTTCTTGGAGTCTCTCCAGTACGCACCCTTCTCCCCCTGAGGCAGCCAGTAATGGACTCAGTTCTTGAGGAACAACCTAACCAGTGCTCATCCTGGATCTGCCAGCAATATTCAGCCTAATAAAGCCAAGAATACCATTAGCCTTCTTCACAACAAATGCCCATTACTCCCTAACATTCAAATTGGCATCCACCAGGACCTCCATATCCTTTTGTGCCAAGCTGATTTTCACCTGGATGGCCTTGAGTAGCTTCTGGTATCTGGGAGTTATTCCTCCCAAGATGCAGGACTTGGCAATTCCCTCTGCTAAATTACTTAAGGATCTTTATCAGTTCATTTTATAATATCCCACTTAGAAGCCTACAGTTAGAAGCCTGGGTGAAACCTACAGTTCAGTGTGAATGTTCCATCTTTCTCATACTGTGCAAAAAAAAAAAAACCCTACACATTCATCAGTAAGTTTACTGCACTGATTTTGATATTCAAAGACACAGAAAATGAAAGCCACAAAACTATGTCATTATTATCCATCTTCTCACCACAGTCAGCATCACAAATCTGCAACCATCAGCAATCCTACTCCAGCGTGATGCTTCAATTTGTGTCCCCATAACCCCAAAGAACATCATCCCAGATGTGGCAAGTCTGTTCTTTACTGCATGAATAGCTCACCACAGATTTACAAGTAACACATTAAATCAATAGTTACTTGGGAGGCCCAGAATACCAGATCAATGCTGACAGTAGTACTAAAATAGATTTCAAGTGGATTAGTCATCACAGTAAGTTTGTTAGTTACATAATTTAAACTGTAGTCATTTACAACCTAGAGAAAATACTACTTCCTAGAGAAGAATGTTTCCAGAGAGAAAGCTTCAAATCTCAGTATCTACTGAAACTCAAGGTTTCCTGGTGCCAATAAAAATACTCTTAACTTTTAAATACTGCATATTACCACAGCACAGAAGTGCTGCTTTAGAACAGCTATAACCCAATCCTAGAGTAAAGCAGTACTGTTAGTGTTTGATTAGACAAATTATGTATTAAACACCTTAAGTAGCATTCACTTAATGTTACAATACTGATTAGGTACAAAAACATTTACTAGCCTATCACTTAACACACACACTTCAGTCTTTATTAGATATTCCCATAGAATAGAATTTTTCTCTACAATAATAGGAATGAGTATACAGAAGACTGGATACATCAGCATCTCTACTTGATTTTCTTTACAACCACATACCTTTTAAACAGCACAAAATAGAGAACTAGCAGTAGAAAAGTTGAGGATTTTTAGAAGTCAGGGAACAATAACTTCTACCTGTATTTGCAGAGCTTCGACTCTTAATGAGGATGAACAAAACATCTAAGATCACTTCTGTTTAGAAATACATGGTAGCAGAGTTCCCTTATGTTCTCACTTATTCTCCATCCTTCTCACATCATCTGCGCCAAGTTATGTAAGCATCTTTGTTCTTCTGCTCCCTTTACAGAAGGGGATATTCCTTTTGGACTTTAGAATCTACCACCTATTACACAAAGGAGCAGTTTGACTAACCATGAAGGCCTGCCATCTCCAAGAAATGTAATAAATAGCCTGCACAAAAATACAGGTATTCAACTAGTTATTTGTTAGATGTCTAAAATCACAGGCAGGCATTACAGAATGCCACATCATAGACTTGACTGAGTACTGATGTTCTTTAAATCTAGACATTATTTATTTAACACAATGTTAACAGAAAACCCTAACTTAAACATACCATATAAAACACTGATCTAGGCAGTCAGCAAGAACAGTTATTCTTTTCAGAATTATACTTTTCTTTCCAATCGTAGTGTCTGGAGTAATCCAAAGTGGTATAGGGTAAGATGATATTCTCTTATTAGCCTCTCTGAGGCTTGGGAAATTATAACAGCACACAAATTTTCCACTAAATTGAATTTTACATTAAGTCCTTTCACTGGGAAAAACACAGCCCACAACATAAATCTAATTCTAGACACATCACACCCACATGTCACTGAGACCATTGCTCCAGTTGTCCAAAGAATGGCCTTAGTACAGTATTGTCACTCTGTTACCATAACTACCTGTGAGCAAAGTGCTATGAAGAGCACAAAAAACATTTCCTACTCCAACTCTGACAACATGGACTTTATTAGGTACTTTCACTGAAAGTGATGCATTTACACTTCAGTTCACTCACGTATCAAAATTAATTCACTGTCTCTGCATTCGATTCTATGATTGCCTTCAAGAAATGATAAACAGCACTCTTGAAAAAAGTAGACTGTGTAAGCTCATCTCTAAGCCTTTTAAGAGTTCCTTCACTTCTCCCATCACGTCATAATCCTTGCTGTAGAAAAAAGTGATCATTTAGGAGTCTAATACAGCAGTTACAAGCAAAATCAATTAGTCTGTGCTCCAAATATTTGTGCAGATAGCTCAAAGTTTAAGGTAAACTAATCTAAAAAATTCAGTAATTGGATTATTAAAGGCAGCTATTTATCATGTTTGATGTTTAACTTCATGTATTAATCAGTATTTCTACAAGTCCTAAACACAGTAAAATTAGGCAACAGCCTTAAGGACAAGTTTTTGTCATCATTTGAAAACCTACACAGACAGCATAGCACACTGGAGACACTGAACATTAAGCAGAATTCACATTTCCAGGTTCAGTTCGCCTTGAGTGCAGAAGCACATGAAATACAGCTAAGCAGAGCCTAAAAACTGGAAATAAATCCACATCAGTGACACAGTAAGAAAGAAACTAAGTAGAAATACTAGCAATAAACTCAAAAGCCTTCAAATGTTACTTATCAAAACATTGTATATGCTTCAGCCAATAATAAGCTTTTTTAAAACTAAATAGCCTTGCACTTCAGATGCTTACTGATGTCATCAACATTTAATAAACCCTCACTTGGGTACACAAATGAAGCAGAACACTGAAGATATTCTCCCAAGTGACAAGCTCATTCTTAAGTTCAGTTTCCTGAAGGTCAAAAAGTCTAAATGTTGAGTTACATTAGCGTAGAGCACAAGAGATTAATCTTTCCTTCCGTAATTAAGGGAAATAAAGTCAAAATCTGACACATTATTACAGGCTAAGCAAGGATCTAGGACTTTTTTTGACCAGCACATTATCTAGATGTTAGCAAGTTCATCTGAATCATTTAGTGGTCTATGTCAGTCACAAAAAGGCTTAATTAGGTGCATGAATCAGTTCAAAGTAAGCACTTCAAGAACTAAGAGCAACTCAGCTCACCTTAGGCACTACTGTTGGTCAACCAAATTGCTTTCCTACCTACTGCATAGAGCTTGATCATAACTGAGCTGTCAGTGTTCTGACAGTCACACCACTATACTGAATGGACTCCCATGCTCCTGCCGTAACTTATGTCAGCTGAACATCATGAATATAAAGAAAACAAAACATAGCTAATGATTTTATTTTATTTTTTACTAAATTTAGACTTATTTAGAAGTCAAAAGATAGTATTTAGCAAGCACTTCACCCTGTTATCCAGTTACTTAATCATGAATAGCACTCCTTTATCCTTATTCTGCAATAGATTTGTTCACTCACCTGACAAGCTGCCACAGAACATCTTGTGGACTAGCAGCACTTCAAGATAATTGAATAATTTTATTCTGAGCTATTGTTACTGAGCCACTTAGAATTCACTAGGAAAACTATGTGGTTCTATTATGTTATTAGTCAAGCTGCAATGAAAGAACCGTTTTAGCAAGCGCATACTTAAAAGATTAACATCTATCAAGAAAGCAATGAATTCATACCAGCATTTGCAGTTAATATTAGGCTTTGAAAACTCACAAAGTTTCATCTCGATTACAATTTAATACCGCAATACTAAAAACTGGCTGATATTCAGTGACTTAAGAAAAGTTTCAGATTTTTCATTGCACATCAAGTTATTCCACAAAATTTCAGACAGTGACAAAGACAGCTAGAAGATACCGCTCAAACTACTTGGCACAACAATGGATTTCCAAAGGAATGTGGTCCATGACAGTAGCAAGCATTATTAATATAAAGACTTGATATGTTTCCATGATAACTTACTGTGTAAGTGATAGCTGCCAACATTCCAATCACAGTCAAGGAACTAATAGAAAATGAAAGAGCAGTCAAGCCATCTGCAAAAAAAAAACAAAAAACAACACACCTGCTGTAATTTCCTACAATAGAAGGTAGGAGAACTTTTCCTGTGATTTCTTGACATTTCAGTTCATAACAAGAAAAGCAAAACAAGAAAACTGTAGCTTCCAGGTATTAACTCAGACAGGAATTTCACCTAGCATAGCTTTTTGCTCTTTCTCCACTACTGCAAGAAGCAGGACAGCAATCCCTCCTTCACTAGAAGCTTGAACATAACACATTCAGTAAATGGTTAAATAGCCACTGATGAACTTGCTCCCACCATCTGAGTACCTCCATCCAAAACTTATTTCTAGCATTCGTAGAGTATTGTGACAGCTTTCCACAATGCAAGCATGCATCCTGGATGGTTCATCTCAAATTTGTTATCCCCTCTTTCTCATAACAAAACATTATTCAAAGAATCAGTCAAGCACAGCTCCCTCAAGTAACCAAACAAGTCAGATTGCTGGCCTCAGCTTGGCTCAGACCACATACATCCAGACCACATACATGGAAAAGAGTCACAGAACTAAAGAGCTGCTACTGCCTTGCTATCACGCAAAAAATTAGAAGGCATAAGGAAAGAAATGGTACCAAACTCATTCCTAACAAACTCTTTGAATGCTGACAGTGTGTATACTCATGCTTGATAATAAAGTTTTTTCTACCAAGAACTGAAAGAGCTTCCATCCTTTGGAATTTTAAAAATAGCTAGCTAACAAAGCCCTGAGCAGCCCAACATGAAGTTGCAACTTCCTGCTTCCAGCAGAAGATTGAAGTAGATGTGTTCTGAGATCTCAGGCCCCTCAGTCTCAACTGTTGCTTAATCCAAGAACATTAGTCACAGGAAAATGCTAGTAGAGTCAGAAACCAAATCCAGATCACAATACAGCATCTTTGTGTGCATGCCAGAAATAAACATTAATTATTCTATACTTTCAAAGCATAAACAGCTACAGAATTGAAAATTTAACTGATGTCAAGGTGGCATAGAGAAGTTAGCTTTTATCTTGAGCTCAACTAGTTCCTAAAAACTGTTTAAGATGGTTGCAACAGTATTTCATTCTGTACTGTCAGAATACTTCTCTTGCTTCGGAAAGTGAAATAAAATGACAGCAAAATTTATGACAAAACAATGGACTTGTCCTCCCTACCCCTTGCATTTGTGTGAACAGCTTATAATAGAGCTCATTATCAACAACCCTGTAAGGAACACTGTTAAGTATTATGAATCTTCAGACCTGTCCAATAGCAACATTTACATAAGCAGTAACAGATGACTGTCGGGTAAGGTATACAGTAGATACACAAGTTTAGGAGTGCATGCAGCACACTTGAATCAGCTCCAGCAAACTAAAGTGTCTCCTAAAGTGAAGCTTTTTTTGTCATTTTATTCCTGCTATGGAATCAGCAGCTCAAAAACTAGAAAACATTCCAAAGCTTGCAAAGAAATCAATGTGTGCGCGAAGTAGCACTACTGAGGCAGCAATAGAGCAACTGACAGTTTTGTACTCTCAATTACTGCTGTCTCAAGACTTTACTTTGTCCCCAGACAAGTATTTGAAATCAAAAATAAGATACTCCTACACATCTTCTGCATATGAAATACCTAAAATACCCAAAATAAAAAGGAGTGCATAAGATATGCAGAAACAGGACTTAAAGACTCCTTATCAATAACAGGAGAACAAATTCAATCTTGTAAAGCAGGAGGTAGATTCAGTTTTTGTAGGTGGAAAGCTCAGATTCAGTACTCTCTCCCAGCTCATTGTTTCTCATTTCTACTGCATTAAAGAAACATAAATGGCGTATTGCTTTCTCAGTGAAAGCTCTTAACTATTCTTAAGTTGATTGAATTAGATATTGCACTGAATAAATAAAAAGCTTTCTTGCAGAATAAGTAACAAATATTTGTTAGTTCTAGATGAAAAAGCACAAGCTTCACTCTAAGCATGATTTTATATAAGTATTTCCATAAGAATACAGCAAGGAGACAATACCTTAAATCTGTAATTATTAAGACCCTTTTACTTCAAGATACACTTTATCAAGAAGACAGGTTCTGTTCATGACAACTTTAAGACCCTTCACCGGGAAACAGAGGCTCTGAATATATCTATTTCAGAGAGAAGCAGTTTTCTAAAGACAGCTTCACTTTTTATGAAAATCAGAATCATAGAATCACAAGGTTGGAAATGATCTACAAGATCATCTAGCCCAACCATCTCCTCATCACCATTGCCACCACAAGCACTAAACCATATCACGCAGCACATCATCCAGACACGTCTTGAACACTGCCAGGGACAATGACTCCACCACCTCCCTGAGCAGGCCATTCCAGTGCCTGACCACGCTCTGAGATAAAAAGTTCTTATGTCTTAAAAAAAAAAAAAAAAAAAAAACAAAAACAAAAACAAACTGAAGTTTTACTTTCACACCAGCATACATCAGTACTCCATATTACTTACATTGGTCTTAACATTTCCTTTCCATCTCAGTTTTAAAAACAGTTAAGTTTTGCTTTGGAGACAGCTACAGATGACAAGACCATTCATCAGAATTAGCATGTCATGGACATACTGTAAGTAGCCTCACATTCACAGGTGCAGGTCATCATAGTGGACTTCAAACACATGCTGTTATTTCTCTAACAGGTGTTAAGGAGGCTTCTGGAAAACATCAGTGACAGCCTCCTTACTTGAATGAGGAAGGAAGAAGGGTGCTTTGTTAAGTCTCATACTGAGGAAAAGAAAGAATGCACTGGTGATACAAAGACTGAAGGCAGCCTTAGCTGCAGTGACCATGAGACAGAAAAGCTGAGGATCCTGAGGAAAGTAAAGCAAAGAGCAAGATCATAATTCTATACTTCAGGGGAGCAAATTTTAGGCCCTAGAGGGAAGAAGGTCCCAAGAAAGCTGGTTGATATTCAAAGATTATCTTCTTTGAGGTCAAGAACAGTCCACCTGAACAAGAAGCAAGTCAGGCAGGTGTGCCAGGAAGCCTGTGTGGATGAACATGGAGCCCCTGGCCAAAATCAAGCATGAAAAGGAAACAGACAAGGAACTGATGATCCTTGGAATTGTGCAGTTCCCACTCATACTGTCATCAACACCGAACCAAGGAAGGTTCAGACTAGATATAAAGTTTTTTATCACTGAAGTGCTTGAACATTGGAATAGTCTTCCTAGTGAGGTGACTGATGTCCCATGGCTGTGCTCAAGAGGCATCTGAATAATCATCTTAATATACTTTATCATTTGGTTAGTCCTGAAGAGGGGAGGCAGTTGGGCTTAATGATCTTGACAGGTCTCTTCCAACTGAACTACTGTAATTCTAATGCAATTTTTAGAGAAGGTTAACACTAGAAGAATGAAGAGAAAAAAAAACCCATGAGATCCATAAGACTCTTGTCTGTGAAATATTCTCACTCTTACCGTGACCAACAATATCTCAATTAACCCAACTAAAGATTACTATATCACAAGATACACACTGACTGAACTGAAGCTCATTGATTGTAAGGTACCCAAGCAACGCTTGTAGCTGTGATGAGTGAGAACTCTATGGGAAGAAAAGTACTATTTCCCAACCCCACCAAGTCCCTCCACAGTGAAATATCATAGGAGACAGTATTAAAACCCTTAAAAAGAAAGGACAATAATGAAAGCTGACACTACTAATCCCCCACTACATACTTGAACTGTTCTGATTATTTTTGTCTGAATTAGAACATTTTCACTATGAAGAATAACCATAGGGGAACAGATAGACACAAATTAGAAAATAGCCACCATCAGAAAAGTTACTTTTTGTTCAGTGAATGGCAAGCATTCCAGAATAAACTGGTAGCAAGTAAAGCAAAGTTCAGGACAAGTCATCTCAGACTTACGGCTGCTTCCAAATTCTTCAAAAAGCAGCTTCACTTTCTCCCATTCTGTGGAATTCTTCTTGTTGGGAATATCCAAAGGAACAAAAGCACTAGAACAAGAGAGAGTCTTATTTATCCTAGCAAGGCAAATATTTAAAATTTACTTCCAGCTTCAGAAAATGGAAATACATTTATCCCTGCAGAAAAATTGTTTTGAGATTAAGTTTAACAAATTCTAAAGACAATACTTCATTTAATTCACATTCCACACATACAGTTAGTTTAGATCAGAGATCATGTGCACAGTCAGGTATGAGGTCAATGAACAAATTATTTTCCATTTACCATTCCTAAGTGAGGAAAGGATCCTACACTCAAGCATCATTAAAAGGCACATTAATCTGACCTACTCACCTTGTTTAGCCTATTTGTATTTTTTAAAAATAAGCATCACTGAAACAATTTATCTTATAACCCCCCATTTATGAATTCTAGAATGAAATTCAAGACTCCCACACCAAGTATTTAAAGAAACTTCCTGTCTGTGTTTTTCTATTACCACTACAACAATGCTCCTGCATTCCATTTCTTGTTTGCTATCTACAAACCTGAAAGTCAAAAGTTAATAAGCAGAGTAGAATCCATAGTAACCCATATTAGAGACTCCGCAATGAAGATTCAGGTAAATCCTGACAAGGAGATAAATGTCTACAACTCTACCCCTTCTCAAGTTCCATACAGTGATAGAGGCCTCACTACAGAATGCAGTAGCAAGAAATTCACGAGTCACAGCAAAAGCAAGGACCAGTTAACATGCCTAGCTGTCTACAGACCTGATTCTATTCTAGTCCCCAAAGGAACTCTAAATCATAGCTCATGCATTACACCAATGTAGTACAGAGCAATTCAGGCTAATTTCTCACAAACATTAAGCAAGAAAAACTTAACAAAAGTCTTAACTATTTTGCTATGTTACATAAATGGTTAATGGATCATAGTAGCTATCAACAGAACAAGACAGTAATATGCTAATAACTACTGAACTACCACCAGCACATTACATCAGTCCACTGACAGTGAGATAATAAAGTACAAGTGCCAATACACAGTTGCATAGGTGTAACTGAGAACTCAGCTAATGCAACTGAACAGAACTGCTCAGTGTTATCTTACACTTGGCATTCCAGGCACAAAAGAAATTTTCAAAACATAAAACATGTTGAGAATATTATAATCAAGGAATAGGCTGTAGAACAGAAGTGATTTAAAACTATTAACATTTGGCAGATCTAGCATCACACAGGTATAAAGAGGTCTTTTTTGATCCTTAAATCAAAGATTACCACCAGGTGTTATTTCTAGCAAGCCAATTTCAAACAAAGGAGTTTTAAACTATTTTCCTAAAGAGTTCTGCTGCAACCTACATAATTCTATTTCTTTAAGTTTTCAGAAAGTATTAACTTACAGAAAGCTACTGTAACAAGTTTCATGTTGAATGCTGATAGTCAAGGAAACTATTTTTAGACTGAAATATTCATTAGACTCAAATACTTTAATTCAAAAGAGGCTGCTGTATAGACATGCCTTAACGTAGATTGTAATATCTCAAGCTCCCTGCCTTCCAGCACATGATATCATAGAAGAGCTTTGGTTGGAAAGGACCTTAAAGATAATCCAGTTTTAAGACCACTGTCAGGTGCAGGGTTGCCACCCACAGCTCCAACCAATCTAGCCATGAACACTTCCAGGGATAAGCTATGTATTTTAAAAGCAGACAAATATAAGACAGGAAGGGCATTACAAGTAAGTTTAGTTCTGAGTATCCCAGTAAATTTGTTTCCTTGTGCTTTTCTTTCAGTGATATGCTGCAAACAATGCACCGAGTGCTACTTCAGATACGCACATCATTGCCACAGTAAGATGCTTTATAACAAGATGCTACAGTTAGAGTACAGATATTCATTTAACAATTCAGATACAGGAATCCTCACTGAGTGACACCAACTTAGATCAGAACAAGGATTATCTGAAACAGAACATTTTTAAAAACAAAGACAGAGTCTCTAATGAAGGTAATTATCCAAGACTAAGCTACCCTTAAACTTCAGGCTTAATCCAGCTTTTACGGTTTCTTTGAATAACTCTCAACACGAAAGAGAAGGTCTTCACTTGACATCTGTCTTTAATAGAGACAAGCTACATATAGATCTTTAATAATACAGACAATTTGTTAAATCAATTAAGAAAACTTCTGTTCTTGTAAAAGCCACTAACCATATGAGCACAAGAACAATACAGACTATAAATTTATTTTACTAGCAAGTTAACAGGAAATACTGCAGCACCTCTTGCTACTGCACCTATACAGAAGTGTATCCTAGTCCACTAAGCTTAGCCTCCTAACATTAAATCCCATACATAAGATTCCAATCTGCTTTAATGTTGATCTGATCCTAACCACATGCTTACCTCTTAAAACCAGTGAAAAAAAACTCTCATGCTATCACCAGTTTGTCTCAGATTGTTTTCAGTCTCACATTAAATAAAGCCTCTCATGCCGAGGCTTCAGCTCCAATACAATTTTAGCTCATTCCAGAAGCACTGGGACTTCTTACACTGCTCTTTGCCCTTGCTGAGCAGGCAATGAACTAACTCCAAGACTCCCTCCATAGCAAAATGCACATAAAACATTCAGATTACAAACACCCAAAATTATTATGTAATGGGACTGAAGTTCACATTTTTCCTCAGTACAGTTTTTATTCATTTCCAAAACTGAGCTGCTCAGTCCTAAATCTTCCTTTAAAGTCAATAATAGGATGTTGCTGCAAAACAAGTAATACAGGTTCTTAACCATTGCCAGGATGGTATCCTTACCTAATTAACTTAAAAAGTGTGCACCCTCTTATTTGCAAAAGCAAAAAAACCTTTTGATTACAAATCAAAAATTCTACATTCCATGCTGGTATCTAAAGGAGTTCTGCTTCCCTGCAACAGATTTAGATCAGTGCCTATTCTGAATCCAAATTTTTGGAGAAGCATTTTTTCATTAACTAGCTTAAAGCTATAGTGCTTAGCTGTGATTAATTTGCAGACAAGCTCACTGTTACAAAGCACAGCACCAGAAGAGGGTTACAGAAGTCATGGTATCTTACAAATTCTGCATATTTTAAAAGGGACAAGCAGAAGAGCAGAGGATAATTAGGACATAAAGAACCAAGTTCCAACTTACTTGAAATGAACAAACCTACTTACAGACTCCAAAAATTCATAGACTGGACAGCCCTACTACAGGTACAGTGTATAATAAAGCAAGCTACATTGTATAATAAAATACTGCAGAAGTTCCTATAAGTACCCCTGTAGTAAAAGCACATGATGAAAGAAACAGCTTTTGTCAGAGCAATTAGTAATATTTTTAGACTTCGGTTAAGTTAGATGAACCTCCTTTCCATCACCTTTCATAATAGTCAATAACTTACCCTCAATTGAAAGAGCACTAGAATTCTTGGAAACTTAATTCAAAGTTTTTTCCCAAACTAGAAACAATTCTCAAATAACACAGCATGTAATAAAGAGCAGTAACTTGTTTCCAGCTCATATTTTAGTACTTCAATATAGATCACTTTAACATATATTCCATCATGACTACATCTTAAACAAATGCTAATAAAACCTTCATTGTACAAAGAATAATTATGTCAAGTACAACTCCACACTATATTTATGTTTTTTCACAGAGCACTTCCATATGGGAGACTGCTACCCATATTCTTAAAAAGCTCATTTGGGACATCCAGGAAAGCATTTGGTCATGAAGACAGTAAACACTAAAAGCACATATCTTTTGCCCCTTGTTGTACATTAAGATGTCAATACAGTTGTAAATGAAAGTTGCAGCCATCATGCTCGAGATATGCTTATACTGCACAAGAAGGCAGAACTTGGAAGTCTAAGTACCTCCACAATTGAGGAAAAAAAAATAATTTTAGCTTCTAATTCCACTCTTGCATTTCAGATGCACAACACAGTATTTAATTCCTAATAGAGATAACATACATATTGATTATAAAGGTTGAGTGCATTACAATCTACTCTTTTAATCTTCCACAGAAAGAAGTTCAATTTAGGGTTCTATTACATCACCTGTTACTATACAATACATAAATACTTACCCAATTAAGAGAAGAACTGCACAAACTGTGATAAATCCCAGAGTATATTTGAGCGCAGTTTTAACCTGCTGTATATTACAAAGAAAGTTAATATATTAATGTAAAATAAATCCAAAGGAATTTACTCACCAGTAATTACAAGACATAATTAACACTACAGGTGACTAACAAAAGAAATTCAAAACAATTAAGTATATTACTTGGAACTACATTCTTGAATAGGCATGTAACTTGAGTACCATGAACAGTGACATTGAATCATGCTTCCATCTTAAACTTGGCCAGAAGCCATAGTGAACTTGTTCAAAATAATAAACTCAGTAAACTCTTACTAATGATATTTCACATTGTTACTTATTATGACCACAATTACAAGACTTCTCACGTTAAATGAAATGAACGCACTTGAAAGTGACCATGATTATTGATTAAAAGATTAAGTAAATGCTTGCTTTAATTTAGGAGATAACAGCTTATGGCACGCATTTGTGCTCCTTGGATTATCATCCATGGCAAAAATCTTCCATGTATTATACTGACATCACCAACTACAAGCTTAAATTAAATTACTACTATCTACATCCACAAAATGCAACAACATACCCAGATTTAGTTCTACCCTAGAAGCAGTATAATCCTTGTCACAACCCATTCGAAGATATTTCCAGAAATTAAGGAAAATTTTTTTTTAATCTTTTTGGTACATTTTTAACTTCCCTTGCCCCATAATGCTTTGCTGTAGACAACTTACTGAGCATGTGTTGCCATCATCTTCTTCCTTCTCCTCATAATAGAAATAAACAAATGGTATCCACAGAAAGACGCAGAACAATATGATGGAGTATAAGGCTATGAGAAAGATTTTAGTAAAAATACAAAGTCAGATTGACACTTAATTCACTGCATAGTTACCCAAAGAAAAAAAATAAAAAGACTGCTTTCTTATTCTAGAGCTCAGTTTCAATTGCTGAAAACTTAAATTTAAATGTCTGGCCTGTAAATTACTGCTGCTTTATTAACCCAAAGTATTTTCACAGATAACTCTTTAGGCTGACCATTTCAGATTAATCTTCAATGCAGCAATTACAAAAAGACTAAAAGAAATCACTCTCCTGCACGCAGGTGATGTATGGAATTACCACAGTAGGGAAGAGCTAAGAATAACAATTATATGTTGTCTTCTGTACTAACTTAATTTTGTGGCCTCTCACCTTACAGATGAGATATACAGATTCTACAGATCTTCTAGATTCAGAGCACCCAAGTATACCAAGTAACAGCTTTTGGTTTGTTCACAAATCCATCAACAAAATCCAGTTCTAAATACCTGAAAACATTCACAGATTTTCTAGAGCAGTACACAAAGTGCTTCAATATTGTGACTGCCTCCAGGAACCAGGCCTCACAAATCAAAAATCTTTTTTCTTTATATGAAGTACAAGCTGCACTGTGCCAGTAACTGCTTGAATTTACAATCATCATTAAATATCAAAATAATCATCCTACAGAGGTCACTGCAAGCACAGAAAACACCCTGCTTGGAAGTTTACATTTATTTTATTAACTTCAGTATAATTTATATATATATGATACGGCCACAACTCACTCAACTGAACTTATCCAGGTTTCTTTCAAGGTGATCAAGAAAGATTCATACCTAAAATAATTACCTATGAACAAAGTGAAATAAGGCTACCATTACAGCAAACACCAGTACTGCCTAGAAACACCATCAGTAACATTTTCAGCCCATGCTTCTGACAGTAAGCTTAAATACCTTTGAGTTTGAACTGCTGTTGTTTAGAGACTGACCCCTATTTAATAACTATCATGTATTTGGTTTTACTTAGCCTTCAGAAAAGAAGGGACATGTACATTTTATGTTATGAAACTGTTTCCTGACATCTTCTGTAATTCTGACTAACACTCAGTTTCTTAAGTTTTTTTAATCTTCTACAGTATATAGCAAATGACTATTACCAATTGATATAGACAATCAGCTAAATTAATCATCAGCTAAACTATTTTTCTCAAAGGCTTATTTAATTGGATATTTAAATCTGAATTGCAATATAGTTCACCCAGCCTTTACAAGTTTTTGAGAAGCCATTCATAGCACAACCATCTGAGCATCACACAGTATGACAGCCAAAGTTTAACTCAGTACAGAAAACACTTCTTAAAAAAGTATTTTCAAGTGCTGCCATCAACAGCATTATGTTTAGTTTTTTTTTTTTAAGGACTGTCACATGTGTATGGCAACTTAGTAGCCAGAAAAGTGATAGTAAGGTATTTCTCCAAGATTAATCTATTCCAGACTTCCAAGCTGTGTACGTGTTACCTTTCAACTAAAACAGTGGAGTAACAAGCTTAGGCTCAAGTCCTGATCTAAATGTGTATGTTTGGTGGCCCTGCTAGGCAGGGGGGTTGGAATTACATGATCCTTGAGCTCTCTTCCAACCCGGGTGATTCTGTGAAGTCAGAAGACTCCATAAACCAGAAACCTGCACTGAACACACAGCAATTCAATTTCATGACCACGTGAATACTTGGAGTAGTTTGTGCACCGAATAAAGGCAGCTGAATTAATGTCAGATTCAACTTCTACAGTTAAGGAAGTTGAAAAACTACCTATAGTAGTTCTAAGTACATCATTTCTCTTATATAAACAGTTCATATCCATGTAATTCAAAAAATCAAATAAGATGACAATGTATTCAATTCCTACTGAATGTACATACTGCTACTAGTAGTTCTAATTCCTTCAAATTCATTTCCTTTTCCACACCCAACCGCTTACATGAAAACAATATACAAGGCATTTAAGATAATGTTTGCATTACAGAATATTTAAACTAAATTTAGATCCAAGTGTAAGCAGCCCTAAATAGAATATTTCAAAGCTCTTAACATTCTAGATTTCACAACTCTGAAGTTCACATATCTAAGACTCTCTTCATTGCCAGTTTAAGCAAAGCAAATTACAGTTCAGATTAGCCTAACTGAAAGCTTAAATCACTTCACCTTCTGTGAAGCCATAGTTAATCAAATTGAAGTTCTCATTAATGTTCCCATTTTATTCCTGTAATCAGGAATTTATCAGATCAGGAAGAGAAATCCATACTGGTTTAACATCAAGAAGACAATACAGAAGTGTTTAGATGTGCTTTTATGTAACCTAAAGTAGAGTTCTGAAAAATGGAGATAAAGTTAGGCATAATGAAGAATAAAACCTTTAAAGATCCCAACAATCCCTCTTATGTCAAGCTGACTTTAAAGTAATTTGAGGCAAAGTACTACCCCATCTCCTTTTGTAAACACTTCCATCAACTAGAAAAAAACAAAATCCTTCAACTAATGGGTGGACTAATTAGTAGCAATGGAATTGTATTTAACTGGTGACCTCAGTAGCTGTCATCAGCTTTAAAGACATACAACTCAGACAAATATCAAAAATACAGCTTCTCAAAGAAGAGAACAAGACATGCTACAGAAGAGTTTTTGACAAATTGATTAAACTAATAAACTGAAAAAGATAGTTAACAAACAAGAACATCAATATTTATCTAGCTAGTTTCCATGTTACCCATAGAAGGATGAGGAAGCCTGATTGCAATGGCTGTCTCACTCTGAATTATATTAAATTGATGCTATTCACACATAACTCCAACTCAAGTCTTATACAATCTAAAGAAGGTGCTGGCTATTAAACTACTGAAACACTAATAAGCAAAACCTTATAGAAACTCATGAACTATTGTTGTTTTCACAATTCTCAATACAAATTTGAGGAAAAACTGTGCTGTAACAGTCTGCACAGATTACAAAACAATGTGGTCAGATCAACAGTACATCAAACCCAGTACCATCATCCAATAGCAGAAACAACATGAGATATTTAGAGAAGTCACAAGTCTGGTGATCTTCTGCAGCTTTATTTTTCAACTCCCTAAAGAGGCATGGATACTCATTGCACCTACAGGTCTTCTATTCATAATAGTCCATTTCAAGCAAGCAAATGACACTGAAGACAAGCTAGCAGCAAGACTGATGCTGCTACGGAGCACTGACAAGCAACTACACTTGCACTTGGAGAAACAGTAAGTATAAATGGACACTGAAGACTTATCTGCCTTTACTAGGTCATTTCCCTCCTCCCCCAGTCTATGGAAAACCTTTCACTTTTCTCTCTCACCTAAGAAAAATGGTGAGTTTAGATTTTTCTTTGCAGTAATCAACCCCAGTCTTCAGAATTACACAACATGAATTGCTTAGAATCAAAGAATGGTTTGGGGTGGAAGTGACCTTCAAGATAATCTAGTCCCCACCTATAGCAGGGGGTTGGAACATCTCCCACTAGACCAGGTTGCTCAAAGCACCATTCAGCCTGGATAGGGCTTCTAGATTCGTCTCCTGCACTTTACAACATAATGTGGAAAACAAACATTCCTGACTTGTTTATGGAATTAGCAAAAACTCCACTAGAGCTGGATCATGCTTCCAAGTTAAAGACTAAATACTCAGTTTAATTATGTACTGTAAAAGTAAAGCTAAAAATACTACTTAGGTGTAACTATTTTTAGACAAACACTTGAAGCAGACAATGAAGTACATCAGCATCTCACATCAATAACAGAAGAAACAATCACAAGCATCTGCTTAATTACAAGAACCTCAGTGATCAGCAAGTGGCATAATACCTCTGATATAAGGAGTAGTCCCAGTTCCTCTCTCCTCCATCCACCTGTCATATTAACATATCTTTGCATCTTCTCCAGTATGGTATACCTTGTGCTGGGTCATCTTAGCTCACCACACTGACAGAAAAGATACTAATATGGCAGTGACTTTAAAATATTTAGAAAACTGACAGACTGCCTGAAAGCATAGAAGAGTCTCCACTCTTAGAGATGCTCTGAATTAAGGCTGGCAACTTGCACGAAACAGTGCTGCAAAGGGAAGTGTTGAATTAAATGATTTCCAGAGGCCTCTTTCCAACTTTAGCACTTCTATGAGTCAAAGCAATTTTCAACTAATTTCTAAACTTTGACAAGCTAAGCACAAACATCCTGCAAATGCCAACACTGGCCCAAGCAGAGAGGTTAAAAAAAGCACACCATTGGAAACTGGATCACTACTGGCAGGAATAGCACATTTCAAATTCAAGGCAACATCTAGCTTTAGGTGATACTTTCTTGCACTACATGCTATTGACTACAAGAATAGAGCTAAGATAATTCCAGGTGCAGATAAAGCTTTTCATGCCAACTCAGTCATGAAGGTAAGAAATCTCATGTAGCTACAATGGCTCACACTGAGAGTTCCGCAGGGAAACACTAGTAAACACATAGGCACAGACTGAGAGTTTCAGGCAGTTCATAAGCCTACCCAACAAGCAGTCAGCTAAGCTGAGTAACAATCAACTTCAGCAGCAGCTTTCTATCCCACAGCCATGAGTTTAAATCCCTCATTCTTCAACTAATGCTTCACCAAAATAATTAAAGTTTGAGGCTAGTATTTGCTGGCTGCAATCGTATACTTCTCATGAACTCTGAGACATGACCTACACACAAGGCTCAACACCCAGAATTTCTGGCCCATCACAAATTCCCTGCTGGCACACAGCCCTTAACTTCAGCCTAAGTGTTTTCTGCAGGAGTTATTGGTTTTCGTTTCCAGACAAAATTTGTTACTACAACTAAATTTACATGCACTAGCACATTGTCAAAAAGCCATGTTACCATAGTAACTTTGCAGGGCCATAACATTAAAAAGTTTAAAAGCAGTTTTGCCTCTGGTTTCCTAAAGCAAAATCACTTTAAGGAAAACCCTTCATTTATCACATAAAGCCTTAAAACTACCTTTCAAAACACCTGAGAGGAAAACACTGAAGAAAGTTTTATATCTCCTAAAGTAAAGCTTCCTTTCCTAACAGTTTTATTTAGTTAAGTGAAAGCAGAAAAATAGTTTTCTTTACATTACACTACAAAGGAAATTTGAAGATGTGGTAAAGTTCCTATCAGCCCAGGAGAGCAGACTGATCTGATATTTGAATTGTACTGTTTACAGTTCTAAGAAATTAATACTTTTCATCAGCTCAAAGAAGTCACTTAAGACAAGCAACTAATTGCCTGTTGTTCTACCCACTAAAAGGGCTATTCAGTTCCTGGAAATCTAACCTTCAAATGAAAAAAACAAGTTTTGCAGCAGCAAACAGTCAAGCAAGTGATAAATATTTCCTTCCCCCAACTCCCCTCTATGTGACCTTGGGGCATAACTGTCTGACTTATTTCATGCCTATCCACAACAGTTTTAAACCAGTATTTGTTCTCCTATCTTGTGCAGAGGTTCAACTTCTGATTCAAAGCATTTTTGCTGGGTTGTATCCAAAACTTGAAGCAGTACCACTTCAAAAAGAGAGTCACTGTATAGCCAGCACAATGACAATTCCTGTCACAATGGAAGCCTAAGCAATCTTCAGAGTTATGAGTTATTTTCTTCCAGTTTATACCACATCCATACAAAGACAACAATTAGAGTCAGATTTGGTAGTAACCTTCAAGTAAGTTATCACAATATTCCCTTCATAATATTTTGACTTACCTACTACTGTTCCTACTTGTGTTCACATACTGCTAGAAGAAACAAAGACTTGCAAAATATACTAGGTAAAAGAAATCACAATATACTTGAGAAGTTTGGGAAGATTTCATGCAGAGTACTCAAAATAAGTACAGTTCCCTCAGATCCCTTGGAAACTACAGTAGGCTCAAGAACCATATATGATCAGAAGTCTCCCCCATCATGCAAACCATCTGCTCTTCCAGATGGCAGCATATACTGGTGTACCACATAAGACAAATGCTACTAATATGCTTAAAACAGTATTTTGTTACGCACTCCCTCACTTCCACTGAGAATGAGTTAGAATGTATTTCAGAAGACCTAAAAGATACACATTCCTTCCCAAAAACACTCTCATATCTAACAGAAGATCTGTTAAAGCATTTCTTAAGCAAGACTGCAGAGACAAATAGCTATCAGTTAAAAACAAGCAAACTATCACACATCAGGTGTTCATCACAGTACTTGTTTGAAGCTAGACAAATCAAGAAATTTATTTTGAGAACCCAGTTCTCAAACACCATCCTTATGAGTCGGGCTTTTTTTTTATGTCACTCCACAGCTTTTGTCTTGTACAGCTAGCCAGTTCCACACAGCATTTAGCCTTCTGTAAAAATTAAACTACAAAAACATATAGCTGTGTTTGACTTCTACCTATTGCTTCCTGGAAGTCTAGATCTTTAAGTCAATAATGCAATATCAAAAATTTGCACTAAAAACTTTGGGTAAATTTTCAGTGGATTTTTAAATTTATGAACCACTGTACAATAATTATTGCAGACTTGAGAAGGTACTTCCCATTAATAAATAGAAAGGAAAACCCTGTAGTCTGGCCTAAAATGTAAAACCTACTCATACTGCAGTAGCATGTAGTAGACAGTCCTGAACACACCAGTTATTACACACTTAACACGTGTAGGTCAAGCGGTCTGTCTCACAGGAAGATGGAGATGTCATCCCCTCACAATTAAGAATGCTTTAGCAAATACTACTGAACACCAGACTGATTCTAATAATCAGGCTTTACTTACTACAAGAACAGCAACAGAACAACTCTAAAGTTACTGTGAATTGTTTCAGCCTGATTCCCAGCGTACAGAGGAAAGAGTCATTATGTGGTTTCCAACTATAAACCTTTCTGAAAACAGTTTCCCTTCCAAACACAAGCTGACATGCTGTTTTACAGCATCTGCCAACCTCTGATCACACTTCAATCACTGAAGTACTGGCAGACCCTTTCCACTGCTGCTGGTTTTATGAGAAATAATACACTAAGCCACTACAGCATTGAAGCAATCAGTGAACTGTTTTCCTAAGCTAGGCTTTTAGATTCACCTCAAAAATAGAGGCATTTCAAAAGCCCAATTCAAAATTACCTCATTCTTCTCTCTAGCAGTACACAACAACTCTACTTTTATAGAAATAATCAAACCAAGCAATCTCTCAGCTGGGTATGAAAAAGAAGGCTATCAAATCTGTAACAAAAAAAAAATTCTCTAGATTTAGTGACAGGTTTCTCTGTAAGTTCCAATGCAGGCAGTGAAACAGTTCTTGATATCCATCAGTCAAACCACAGTCTCCAAGTTCTTGCTACAATTAGAAGTGCCAGAGCACAGTCAGTTGGCAGGCTTAAGACACTGCCCCACAGTTTAAAATCACATGTGCAGTAGAGCTGTAAGAGGGATAGAAGATCTATATAGCTAGCTAGTAGTACACTTCCTGGAGGAAGTACTACTGGTATTCATATGCATAGTACTAGGACTAGGTACAAAAGGAGATTTATCTGGTTATCTCTTTATTTTAAAAGATGTCAACACCAAGTACTACTAAAAGATATGAGAAAAATGGAATTGTGTCACAGGATTTAAGTTCATTCTTCTCAGTTTTCATTTCACTGTATTGCACAGCAGTAGACTTGACCAAACAGACAAGAGAGTCATTAGGTTGTGTTTTTATGCAGGAATGATGCCATCTTCTCAGAAGTTACTACTTCAGAGTAGTTGTACTTCTAAAAATGCAGCAATTCGTCAAATTAAAAAAGTCATTCAAGCAAAATTTTAAAACATCTTTAAATCTCTACCACCATCTGGAGGATATACTGTGAAATAAAACATTAGTCCTGTAGAACTTCAAGGAGACTTGTGCAAGTAGACCAAAAATCAAAGGCTTCAAGGTTCTTGAGGCTTCGCCCTGAATACCTGGCTTTAATGAGAATGTAATTTTAAATGCAAATGAAATAAACCAAGTTCTTTGGTAATGTCAGATATGAATTACAAGTAATCACCTGCTTAAGCAGGTACTGTGCTTCCTGCATTGCAGATTTAAAAGGCAGTTTTCCAGAAATCCTGAACTAGAGAGTTTGAGAATGCCCTAAGAACACTGTATCGTAATGTAGATAAAAGCAAAGGATATTAGAACCTGTAGCCACTGTTGAGTAAAACTAAAGCCTAAAAGATATATCCAATCTGGTTTTTAGTCTTAGTAGCACTTCAAATAGAAGTCAAAAGTAGTTAAGCTTTCTTCATAAAATTAAAATCAACTTAATTTGATGTAATTAGCATACAAGCCAACCTATAAGATTTAAGTTCTTGAACAAGAAAGTTTAAAAAGCATCCTTTTTAAACTCTTCTAGTGAAAAGTTTACCTAAGTATCTGCTGCAGAAGCAATACAGAGCATGGGAGAACAATGCTAGCTGAAATCCTAATAGAAAGCAAGTAATAGCAGTTACTAAACTATGAAAATCAAACTCTATATTTATAAAGCAATTTAGCTAGCTGTTTTAAAGTGAAAGAGCTCATATGAACTTTTATAAGTAAGAGTTCATATTTCTATAATTTTCATCCAAGCTGATATATTCTATAAGTTACTCAGTAATAAAAATAAACTGAAAGTAACCAGTCTGAATCAATTACACACTTGAAATCAAGTGCATAATTGATTTCAGGCATTTGTGGCCTGAAAAGAGCTCTCCAGTCCTCCAGGCCAGGATTAATACCTTTGTTAGCCTAAATTATTTTATGGAAATTCATCCCTCAGTTTTACAGATCTACACAGACAGACCAGAGAGGAGTTAAAAACAATTCACATGATCAGTTGTGAAACAAACCCCCAGCAATGTAACAGGAGTAGGAAGCATACAGGAAGTGATTCTACTGTTCTACAGTAAAAAAAATAAATTTCTTCCACAGTTTCTATTCACATACAGCTCAGTTAAAGCCACAGCAGTTTCTTATAACTTTTACTTTTAGGTTTCGCTAAGCATGAAACTACTGATTCTTGTTTGTGTGATCATCTCCATCAGGCAATACATATTCTATTACTTAAAAAAAAATATATCTATTTGGAATCAATTATTTTCTGATGTAAAAAAAGTACTCCAGATAGCCAACCTATAGCCTTCCAAGTATTTGAATATAAAAACAAATATTTTTCATTTGAATGTGTATCATTGACCAAGGTAGTCATTTCACTCCAATTGTCATAGGCATTTCTCTTAGATATCTTTACTGGCACCAAAAGCTTTTCCTGAGGAAAACTGAAAGCATTGATTTAAAACTACACAAGTTCAGTGAATCAAAATGTTATGAAGTATATGTTAACTAAACCTTTTGCTTCAGTATTGCTTAGGAATACCATCTTTGAAGTAGTCTACATACAGTAAATCAGAGTAGCTCTTTGTTTTGTATATGGTAGTTTCTGACTGAATATATACAACAGTCCCATTAGTTATAGCTGCACTAGCAGGACACTTGATGCAACTTTCACACTTCTGCATATATCCAGTGCCATAAAAATTATACAAAAGCCAAGGCTTCCCCAAATTGATCTCTAAATACACAAACACAAAATACATGTCAACAACAGATTACAAAACAGAAGCCATTAGTTTCTTCCTGGATAGGTCTTAAATACATCTGCATTTCTAGAGGGGCTCTCAAATGCAAAATCTTCACTGGAATGGTCTAAATGTAAGGGTACTGTGTTACCAAATACAAATTATCCAGTATGACTTGTAATAGTTTTAAGTGAAGGCATGAAAGCTTTTAAATGATGGATCCTATTAACTGCAGAGGAAGAACATTAGAAATACTTACTATAGTATCCATAAAGTACAGTGTCTTCAATTTGTCTTGAAACATTAGCATCAGCCCAGTCCTAGTAATAAAGAATAAAAGCATTTAACATCAAGTAGAAGAGAATTTTATTAAATGGCCTTTTAAAAGAACTGGAAAAAAAACCCACACTTATTTCAAATGCCTAAAGAGAAGAAAGAATTAGGCACTGTATCACCAATGAATGTACAGATGTTATAATCATGAAATATACCAGAGAGTTTGGCTAAGCAGTTATTACACCAAAAGAGAATAGATAGAATGCTTACCCATATCCCAGGCTCGCTATCAAACTCCAGAGGAGAGGATCTCCAGAAGAGACCCTTCCCCAGTGGTAGTCAGCTTTTAAATGGGTCTAGGAGGGCAGCCAGGCTCCACCCCTTCCAGCAGCAAAGGTGAAGGGCCTTCACCTGTGCTCCCATAGCTGACTCATTGCATCAGGTGATCACTCAGAGGTTCAGGCCATGATTCAGCAGTTCCCATACAGGCACCAAGTTGGTTGATTTTAATCATTGAAATTTAAGTTGAACTAATTCACTAATAAATCTGATTAAGAATGTGCTGCATTTCAGGGGACACTGAAAGCATCCCACTTGCCCAACTGAAAATACAGTTATACTCAGTTCTAGCCTCTTTCTGCACTGCTAGAATCTTACAGCAGACACTGGGAGGGCTGCAATCAAATCAGTGACAAGCTCATTTTGAAGTTATTTCCTCTAATAAAAAGGTTTCACACTACTAAGACTGGGAACTGATAGAAAACAGCCCCCAAAACCCTACATGGGGCTGACGCTCACAGTAGTGACATCACAGTTTGGGAACATCTTTCCAGAAAAAGGTTATGCAGTCAAGGTTTTTTTCTAGATGCAAGTCAAGAAGGACAGAGTGACATTTGCATAGCATTTACTTTGTTAGGAATTCAAATTAGGAAGAACAGGTTGATTTTGTAATGACAGCTTAAGGTATCAAAACTATTTTTTCAAGTAGTTATTAGCAGACTTCTGACTACACCTATATACTACAGTTTCTGCTCCTACTGTAATTAACAACACTACAAAAGAATCATGCATTTAAGAAAATGAGAAATCAACTTTTTACAGCTTGACAGTAATAAGGAAGGGGAACAGTTTTAAGCCAAGAGAGAGGAGATTTAGGTTAGATTTTAGAAGGAAATTCTTTACTCGTAGGGCAGTGAAGCCCAGGCACAGCTGCCTGGAGAGCAGTGGATGCCCCATCCCTGGAGGTGCTCAAGGCCAGGTTGGGGTGGGGCCATGGGCAGCTGAGCTGGTAGGAGGCAGCCCTGCCCACAGCAGGGGACTGGAACTTGATGCCCTTTTGAGGTCCCTTTCAACCCAAGTGAAGATTATGAGATTGAAATGTAATCCTAATACAAGACTTGAATTCTATAAACACTGAAGCAAGATTCCAAAAGCCTGATCAGGCACTGTTAAATTCCTATACTTTAAATTCCCACCTTATTCAGATTGAGAAATTCAAGTCTTTTCAGTAAATATAAAAACACATGTACTGATACAGTACATATGTAATACAGAAGAGAGCATGCTGCTTAAGACTGCAAAAGGTAAGTCTAAGTCAACATTTACTTTATCAGTTCTCTCAGAAGTGGGTAAAGTCCTGTGACATGGACTTGATGACATGCCACACATATTACAGATGACAGCCCATAATCTCAGGAAATCAGTACCACCTTCCTTTGTGTTAATATATTAAGATCCCCTGTAAACCACCTGACACTGAACATTTGAAGTTAAATGATTAACCAATGGGTTTTCAGTAAAAAATTTAGGTATACTTTTCCTAATCAGCAAAAAGAAAGCATGAAAAATATTTTCTCAGAAGGGATAGTTGTAACATTGCCTTATGTGAAGTGCTTGCTACATATACAATAAGCCCAGTCTTTGGAGGCTGTTCCTAACAACATTTCAGTAAAAAAAAAAAATTCCAGGCATTTGTATGATCATTAAAGAATTTGACAGTAATAAGTTGAGAATATTCACACAGAATATGAATGTGTTTAATTTGCTAAGTGTTAAAAAGAAAATGTGCTGCTTTAATTATGCCTCAGGGAAATGCAGTAACATGTGGCACTCTTACCTTCAGATGGATCTTAGAATAAGAGCAAGATTTTTTTTATGCAAGATTCAAAACTGACATCAGAAAACACCAAGAAAAGCTTTTAGTCGTCACTGCTCAAGTGGCCCAGCCACTGTACAAGAGCTATTAACTGAAGTACAGTAGGACTTCACTGCTAAAAACCAAAACAGTTCCTCCTCTAACTTCAGAAAAGAATTACTAAGGTTGATAACAAAGATGTAGAACATTAAAACATTATTTTCAAATTTGTTGCTTGCATTAAGTTGTGTACCAGACCACAGTAATAGAATAGGAAGCATACATTAGAGCATACCAAAATAGAGGTGCCATCTCACATTAGGATAGTAAAGATAAAAAATCTCCTTCACCACAGCATATAAATACACCTGATTTTCAACACTGCACAAGAAGAGTCTACAATGCAAGCTAGCTTATACATACAGCATAGCTATTACACCAGCTTCCATTCAGCTGCTGATGCTCTACTTAAAGAGTCACACAAACTAAGGAAGTAAGAATTCTTATTCTCAGCAGAAAGTTATCTTTATGCACACCTCATCAGCAATTCAGAAGCATAACAACTTCCCCCGAGACATCTCAAAAGCTAAGGACAGCAGCCATCCTTGTCAGAAGGCACACTGCTACCTAGTGAGCATCAGAGCTTTGACATTACTAGCAAAAGCACTAGCATTTGTCAGATTGAAAATTTACTGGATGAGCACACAGAGGACTCCGCTGAGAACTAACTTATCAGGAGAGCCTCTAGGTCCAGCCTGTTTTCTCCTCCATTCATTATGGCCCACATTTACAAGATACCCAGCAAATGCATCAGAATCACAACAGACTAACAGACTAAGGTGAGATATCACTATTGCCTTCAGGAGCAGTTCAAGATGAAAATATGACAAGTTCCCTTAGGATCTGCTGAATTTACACATTCTACACTGTTCTGCTGTACTTCATTCTGTTCCTTATATTTACCAATACATCATATCATCTTTAAAGTACCTGTAAGATGAAGGAACCAAACTCTAAGTATGTGCAATGGGTATGATGGCCTAAATTAAGCTACAACTCTTAATTACTCCTTAACTAAAACTACACTGAAGAACCTAGAGATTTTAAATACAGTCAAAAACATTTGAAGTAAAAAAATTAGTAAAAGGTTGCCATGTAAAGGTAATTTTGAAAATGCTGTTCCAGTTTACCTAAACATTGAAACAAAAAGCATTTGAGGGAGCTTATATTAATTATAATCACAAAAATTTAGTGAAAAACAGTTGCTTCCCTTACTAATATGAGTCAGAAGCATCTCCCTTGCTCCCCCAATAGCTGTGTTCAGTTAGTCTGATGTTAATGTATTCAACTACAATAGTACTACTCAAACCACAACAGCTAACTTCCCCAAACAAAAGGAGTACAAGCTGAGAGAATGGCTTTCAATTTCTACTGTCACTGCTGGATCTGCAAGAATTTCACAAGTACCCCAGTGAAGATTGTTTCATTCTCAACAAGTATCATCTCAGTAGAGCTTAAAGTGGCACATCACAGGATTCAATATGTGATGTTTCCTCATAGGCAGATGAAGCTGACATTCTACTCATTAGTCTCAACCAAAGCTTAGACAGCAACAGGAAGACAATACCAAAGATTGTAATGCAAGTCATTGCATGGCTAGATGAGGAAAAAAAACAACCTGGCATCTAGATCATAGATCTAGTGTGTTACCACAAGAAGTGAGACACAGCCACAATTTTGTCAGAAGTACCATTAGAAACAAGCATGGCAGCCATATCTGCTACTGTGAACATTTCAGACAGAAACTTATTTCACAAGTAATTCCTACTCAGGACAGGAAGCATTATCTCAGCTAACTTCTTAGAATAAGAAGGCTTGGAATCTCAAGACGGGTTTGTCTTCTGTTTCTCTGTATGGTTTGTTTTTTTCCCCTCTTATTTTGTTTTTAATAGCTACATGATTTTTTTCCAGGAGGCAAAAAAAGTAAACAGAATAGTCTGAAAAGGATCTACCATAAAATAGATAGGACTTCACTAAGGAGATGACTTAACTTTTAACAGCTCAGCAAGGTTTGTGAAGTACTCAATCTAAGCTAACTGAAAGCTCATAGCCTTTAATTTCACTCAGCAGCAAGAACGTGTGCATTTCAAGAATAACGGTTCTCACCATCTCCCCCATTCTTGTATTGCCTCATCAGTAGAATAAAAAACATATCAGTGATGTTAACATCCAAGTAGTTCTACTGCTGTAAAAAAGCACACTTCAAATATTTGAGTTGTAAATCACATAACATGATGCCTTGCATACCCAACTGCAATCTCAAGTCTTCAAACTGGGGTGCGGTTCTCCTCTCCTACATGCTTTCTGGCAAAACAAGCAAGTTTCCAGAACAAATCAGTTCTAACTGTATGTATTTATAGTCTATTACTCAAGATACAATACTGTCAAAGAGAACAGCCAAACTCTTCAAGAGTAATTTTTAGTAAATACTACTCAAACTTAGTTTACAAGGCAATTCCCAAGTTTCTCTGACCAATACTGGAATCAAAAACCTGTTTTCCTGCTTAGCAATACCATGAATACACAAAAATAATTGCTGCTTCCAGAAAAGGTGTTAAGTGTTGGTTTTTAGACTCAATCTGTAGGTTCCTTCTAGGTAACTGTTGTGCTCAGTGTATTCCAGCATATGCAGGAATAATCACAACTACATGCATGCACTACTACTCCCTTGCAAAAGGGCTACATGGTTACTGTGCAACACTTCTAATACCAAAATTGCTCAGCTGTCTTGCTACAAGGGCATAAAAACAGTAATTGCGAATCTCAAAATATACTAAGATACACAGTAAGACACCCTCTCCTACAAACACACTCCCCCTTAAGGGGCTTTCCAGCTTGCCCTGGAAAGACTAGCTTAATAACCTCTACAAATAGAATCTCATACTCAACATTTCAGACAGAATAAGGCTTATGCAGACCCATTATGTTAGTATTTCAGAATCAAAATAAAATAATTCTTGCAAAAACAACTGAAATTCGAGCTGCTAATAAGCAAATCAGTTCTTAAATACTGGGGGGTACAAGTCCTATTTTACAGCATCCCATTACAATGTACTAAAAAGAAAACGTGTATAGGCAAAAAGTAGCATATATAGTTTTGGCAAAAAAAAGGAGTAAGTACCTAGAAGCACATAGCATTTGGGAAGTCTTACCGAAAGTCACATGAAGTAATAACAATGAAATCCAGATCAAGTAACAAACAGAGGAAAGCACAGTATTTGCAGTGCTGGTACCCAGAAACCACAGCACCAGCACTAGTAGAGATTTTGTTCACCTGATATGCCCAAGTGTTTAAAAGAAACATTGTTAACACAGGAGAGCTGCTTCTTTCAAAGAAGCAATTAACATCTTCAAAAGCACATACCTTAAATGTACCATTTTGATTTTTCATATATGAAACCAGGAAGATGTCCACTGGTAGTAATGCTGATGAAATTAGAGCAACTGCCAATGCAAAGATAGCTGTTATGGTAGAAATCACTTCACTTTCTCGCCGACTCTGATACTTGCGCACATAAACCCAGGAGAAAATCAGAATAGCCTGAAAAACACAGTGGAAGACAGTTATGACTAGAATACCAAGGACATCAGAGAGCAGCTACTAAAGTCAGACCCTTTATCAGGACTAGAGCACTTCTCCTATGAAAACCAGCTGAGGGAGCTGGGCTTATTTAGTCTGGAGAACGCTCCAGGGAGATCACACTGTAGCCTTCCAATATTTCAAAGGAGAATACAAACAATAATGAAATTAACTTTTTACATGGATAGACAGTGATAGGCCAAGGAGGAACGGTTTCAAACTAAAGTTGGAAAGATTTAGATTAGAAGCCAGAGGGAAGTTTTTTGTTACTCTGAAGACAGTGAGGCATTGGCACAACTGCCCAGAGAGCTGTGGGTGCTCCATCCCTGGAAGCATTCGAGGTCAGATTAGATGGGGTACTGAGCTGGTAGGAGACAGCCCTACCCAGAGCAGGTGATTGGAACTAACTGATGTTTGAGGTTCCTTCCAAATCAAACAATCCTACACTTCCACAATCAGGATGCTCATACATCTGAGCATCAGCAACAGATTCATTATAGCAATTCACTCTTTTTACCTTCACCACGACCACCAAGCAGTGCCAGTGATACAGGCAGGAGAACTGGATGGCCACACGCCCTCACCTCTAGACTCTGCTTGGACTTACAGCGTTACGACATAGCCTTTATCAGGAACACCCCGAGACAGCAACAGCTCTGCGAGGCAGACGCACGGCCGGGAGGCAGCAGGGCAGGGGATGAAGAGCAGGCAGCCGGGCCAAGCCGGGGCGAACACGGGAAAGGGGAGTGAGAGTAAAGTTTAAGAGGGAACTCGGAGGGCTGATGCTCACGCAAGGAAGGGGTAAGAGGGAAAACCTGTCCCAAAGAAAGGCAGGAAAGAAAAAAGAAGGGAGATACTGAGACGTCACATGGTCTGAGTGGGGCAGCTGCAGGTCTAGCTGAAGAAAAACGGGCCGAGAGAGCCCTGCTCACCAGCAGCGCGAGGCCGAAGAGGCACCATCCCGTCAGCAGCTCCGAGGTGGCCGCCGCCATCTTCGCTTCCGTCAGCAGCAATCAGCCCGCCTCCGGGGGCGGGGTCTTTAAAGGGGCTCCGTAACGTCACCATGGGGACCGGCGCGGGGCGGGCGGGCGGTAGGCTGGTGTTCTGCGGGGCGGGGCGGGGCAGGGCAGGGCAGGGCAGGGCAGGGCCATCTACGGGGCACCTGAACGGAGTGGGACCGAAAGGTATCGAGTAAATTCGATGTTTGAATCAAAAAGAAAACCATCCTTAAAATGGAATCGTATAATAATATCCCGAGTTGGAAGGGGCCCACAAGGATCACTGAGTCCTACACGTGGCCCCGCACGGCACCACCCAAAATCAAACCCTGTGTCTGAGAGCGCTGTCCAAACGCTCCGTCAACTCCGGCAGCTCGGAGCCGTGCCCACAGCCCCGGGCAGCCTGTGCCATGCCCACCGCCCTTTGGTGCAAACCCTGCTCCCAGTCCCCGGCTGCCCCTCTCCTGACGCAGCTCCATGCCGTTCCCTCAGGCCCTGTCGCTGTCAAACAGAGCAGAGCTCAGCGCTGTCGCTGTTACACAGAGCAGAGCTCAGCGCTGCCCTTCTGCTCCCTGTGAGGAGCTGCAGCCGCCATCAGGCCTCCCCTCAGCTCCTCTGCTCTGCGCTGAGCAAACCCAGGGATCTCAGTGTTCCTTATCCACCTTACCTTTTAGACTCTCACCAGCCCTCCTTTGGACGCTTTCCACTAGTTTTACGTCCTTCTTACATGGTGGCACCCAAAACTGCACACAGTGAGTGCTGATCTGATGCCAAGAGTGATTGTGAGAGCTTCAAAAGTTGCCTTGTGTCTTTACTAATCTGTAGTTTATTGTGAGAACTGTGAGATGGTCGTGTGCAGTGGCACCCATAAACTGTTTCTAGGGCGTCTGATGTGGCATTCTTAGGTGACTTGGTGATGGCATAGCTTTCCTATAAAGTGACTAAAGTTTTTGCTGGGCTCCAGTTTTCTGTGAGAGGGGTGTGATGGTGCTCCTAAACTGTGCATGGAGTGGTTGGAGCAAGGGTTGAGGTGGACATGTAGTTTTGTGAGAAGGGACCTGTGGCTGGAGGGACCAGAGAACTGAAAGCTTCCCCCAGAGCAATGGACATGTGCTGCATTTCTGCTTGCTGTCAGGCCAGAATGGAAGATACTAATGTGACAGCATTCATGAATCAAGTAGTAACGGGGTTGAGATTATTCCATGTCTAAACACACAGGACATTCACTGTCTGGACAACTGAGGCTCATTTGCTTCAATTCTGACCACTGGGATCTTTCTAATTCAGTTCATTTGTCCTTCTAGCATCATTCATTTCTCAAGTATTTCTATGGCTAAGCCTCTATGCTCTTAACCCTTGCTTCTGTATTATCATTACTTAAAGGCAGTTGTAACGATACAAAGTCACTGTAGAAATTACAAATTATTGTTGCAACAACACCCAAATGTGAACATGCAAGGCAGTAACTATAGTGGTTAACGGTACATACAATAACTGTGTGCTACAATTAAATGGGTAAAAAGGTGAAATAATGTGGCAACAGTCTGTCCACTAAAAATGTCATGTCAATGGACTTCATGTATGTAACTGCTTGTTACATTCCTACCTCTTTTAGAAGGTTATTCTGCTGATATAAATCTCATACCTCTTCTTCTTGTGTTGATCTGTGGCTTTCAGGAGCTTAGTCAAGATTCTGTAAGAGAAGAGGTCAGTCTGCTTCCTCACTCTGCATAGTCTAATTCTAAAAACTCTGTGTAATTCTGTGATCTATGTGCAGAGAGCTTTTATCTGTTAAAACCAGTCAAAGAGCATGCCCAGGATCACTAGCTGTAGGAGTTTTCTAATGGGGTTTTAAATAGGTGAAGGATGCCTGCCAATCCGTTTGGGTTCCCTCATCAGTCCCATCCTTTTTCCTGTCTTGTTCGTCCTTTTTTTCCTTTTACCTGAGGCAGTGGGGTCTTACTTAGCATGTCTCCCGAATGAAAAGAATCAATGTTCCTGAAGATGGCCTTCCCACACTTTCTCCAGCCAAACTCCTAAAACTCTCAGTATAGTGTTTATCATTCCACTCTAATGTTCCCTTGAGATAGAAGAAATGTTGAAGGCTAAGTCTGTTCCATTCTTGGCAGCTTGAGCAGGTGTGTCGACGAGTGAAAGCTGTTATCTTTGTTTTGGGAGTCCCGTGTTTCGAGCACACATGCTGTTGTGCACACTAGCTAGGTGAAACTAGTTATATGCTTGATCCAGCAGTACTGACCAGATCAAAGGGATGGGCAAACAAGAATCGTAGGGAAGTTGGCAAGACAAACGCCTGCACTTGAAAAGAAAATACCCTGTGCAACAATCCAGGCTGACTAGAGATCAGTTTTGCTGGAAAGACCAAGATCCAGAGCGTCACCCAGTGGCAGAGAATGCCCTCAGCATCCTGGTCTGCACCAACAGAGGCACAGCCAGTAGACCAGAGGGATTACTCTCTTCTTCCTTGGGCACTTGATAGACCACATGTAGAATACTGTGTCCAATTTTAAGCTTTTAGTACAGGAAAATCATTGATAAGCTATTGTGAATTCAGGAAGGCCTCCAAGGATGCTGAGGACTGGAGCGTTTGCCTTGTGAGAAGATACAGCACAGGAGCTGGGCTTATTCAGACTGGAAAAGAGGTGGTTTTGGTGTGACTGGACATCAGCCTGCCAGCTCCTGCAGAAAGGTAACTGAAACGATGTAGACAGCACTTCACCATGATGCATGTTGGGGGAAGGAGTCACAGTCATAAACTGAAACAAGAGTGTGTCAGGCTTTTGGTGACTTAATCCATGATTAAGTGATAATGTTCACTGAAAATACATATCAGAACTCAGGAGTTCCCTGTAGTGACTATTGAAGGACTTCAGAAAGAGTTCCACTGAGTCAGTACACAAGCCATGCATAGCGTATGTTCATTTATTTTTTGTTTTTATTTGTTTTTAAACAGAGGTTCATCGGGATTAAGAGAATTAAAGGCAAAAAGGCATTTCCTTTCTCTGTGTGCATATGGTCAGTATGCACATGGTCTGAATGTGACAAAAACAGAGCACAAAACAGCCCTTCAAGTACTGTTAAGTTAAATGTCTCTTCAGTCCTTACTGTTACGAATGCTGTATGATGTGCTGATAGTCAGTTTTCAAATACCTAGCTAACACCACATAAGCTTCTTTTTTTTCAACAAATAGCACTGAAATGCCTGACTTGTGAATAATTGAAATATTTATAATTTAAAGAAATAGGAGTTTACAGGAAGTAGCATTTCAGTCCTTTTTCCTTTTCAGCTATGAAAACACATAGAAGGAAAACATCACCTTGGATAATGCCTTACTGTCTATTTAATATCAAATGATAAATATGTTGTGCATGTACTATTATATATGTATTTAATATATATTACTAATTATTTGTATCTATTATCTCCAACACTGAATTTTTTTTTCCCCTGGATATCATTACTATTAAATATGTATGTTATAATTCAGAAATAACCTAGGCCCCATGAAGAATTAAAAACTTAAAGAACAGCATTAAAAATAAACTATTCCCAAATGGGAAGGAAAGTAATCTGCCTTTGGGGTATATAAAGATTTTATGAGTTTTACAGTGCTGCATACCTTTATCAATAAAATATTGAAATAGGGAACATCGGAGACCCATAACTTGTTAGAATTAAGACTGTTGTAAAAAAGAAAATGCTTTAGGTCCATCCTACCACACAATGTCATGTTTTGACCAAAGTGGTTACATAAATATTTAATATATTTTAGTAAATAAGCCAAAAAAGCAACTTTAGTATGATCAAAAAAAATATCTTTTCTAATGTGGTTAACTTAGACAGTTAAGAGTGTAATTTCTTAACAAACAGTAATATATATATATGTATTTCTCACTAGTAGAAAATGTAATTTGTCTTCACTAACCTATTATTAATTAGATGACAGAAAAGGCCTTCAAGAATTCTGTGAAAATGGTTTCATATGTCTATGCATCAAATGATTAAATCTGTAGTTACTGAGTGTGTTGTAATATAGTATGCAATATCCTTCTGATTGGTTTGTGTCAGGGTCCTGTAAGTGTCCTCTCAATTTCTTGCCCATTCCTGACTTATTTACTGTCAGAACAATGAGAGAGACAGGGAAGACCTTGATTCTCTGTAATCTGTTCAGATACAACTAGAATATCAGCAGGTTATCAAAGCTATTTGGTTATAAATCCCAAACACCATATGACATCTTCAGTCATCTTCAGACATCTTCACTAGGGAAACCTTCATGGCTGTATTCACACAGAGCTCTGTAAGAGGTTGCTCACGGATACATCTGAGGAAGAATTTTGGAAAGTTCACAATGCCCATTGACAGGACAACTTTTGGGGATATGTTGTTTAGACATTTCTTGGCATTTTGTCTTTTGCAGCCATCTTAGTTGCTTGCAGGACAGTTGCTTTTTGTAGAGCCTCAAGTCCACCTACATTTTACTTCAGAAAGTTATGCATCATCTTTATAACTCTTTGCTGTCTGGTGTATTGACAGTATACCTCTGTATGCATTGTACTTTATAAGTCTGTGAGTTTTGTCTCACAGATTTAGCTAGAGTTTTACAATCTGTTAAGCAGTCCACAGGATTCAAAACCCAAATGAGGACAGGACATCAAAGTTATTGTTCATAGTGATTTCAGTTGCACCTCTGTTTCTTGGATTATTAATAACAAGAAAACAGAATGTAACCTGTTTTTTCTTTTACATCATTATTTTGCTAAATGCAAGTTTGAAGACCCTAACTAAAAGAGGGTATGCATTCATTTATTCTCACTGAACTTTGACAAAGATTAAATTCTCCAGGAAAGAACACTAGTTTTCTCCTTTACTGATTTCTGCTCATAGTTTGCACATTCAGTAATGTAGGTAAAGATATTCCTAAGGCTGTGCTGAGGCAGGTGTCAGCAAAAACCCAAAAAGTTTAATTGCACTGATATGTCATGGACTTGTTTTGCCAGTGGACGAGGTCAGCACGATGTTCGCAGACACCAAGTTAACAAAGCGTGTATATCTTTACTTAAGTTTGAAGCAATGAGATAATAAGTGAAATGGTACAGCAAGAGTAATACAGAGCAAGGCAATGCAAAGGCAGCGCACCTTACCATTACTACATGAGGATAGCAATAGTGATTAAGAAAGATACATCATTGTATGGGAATTATTGACTCACAGCCTGAAAGACTGATTGAGCACTTTGGGAAAGGACCCACTCAGCCCTGGGAGCACAGGTGAAGGCAATTCACCTATGTGACTGGAAGGGATGGAGCCTGGCTGCAACTCTCTTAAACCTCATTTGGGGGCTGACTGCTGCTGGGGAAGGATCTCTTTCTGTAGATCTCTCCTTTGGGGAGTTTTCCCCAATGAGTGTAGATCTTTAGAGGTAGGTGAATAGTCTTTTTTCCTTATTTTATACCATCTTTCTCTTGTGTTGTTCTCTCTATCGCTAAACCTCTTGCCTCATCTTTCCATCATGTTGATCTTTCTGATTGTTGTCATCATCAGTTGCACAAATACTTTACTATTATCTAGATCTGGAGAGCCCTGATTGCAGTGAGGATTTTTAGATAGCCTTTCCTGGCAATTGGGAGGTCTTTCTTATACAGTGCATACACTCATGGGTGCGGTCTCCAACTTTGCTACAAGAGGATCTGTCTTTTATATTGTTGAATAAATAAGTTTATCTGACAACTAGGTAGAAACACCTGGTTTTGTTTCTGCCTTTGGATTTCAACTTAAGCCTGGCCAGAACTCAAGGAGAAACCAGGCAGTTGGTTCATATGTTCTCATGGTGCTTTAAGCTCTGTCTCTTGCTAATGAGATTTTTTTTTTTGTCCAAGATGCATATATTGCTAACAATCATCATATTTTGCTAATGAACAGACACTTATGTAACACTGGGTTGGGAGATTCATCTAGAAGTCAGCTTTGGTTTGAGGCCTACTGTTTAGGCCTTAGTACTTCAGGACTGAAAAGAAGCAACCACAGAATAAAACTCTGTTAGTTGTGTTCATTGTTAAGACTGATTAAGAAACTAGTTAACAAGAGATTATTACCATGAGTTGAGTAATCTGAGAGGAAACAGCTGGTCACTGATACAGAGGAAACATCTTCACTACATACAAATAGGAGACCAGATGTAATTTTCTGAAGTGTTACTACTCAAGAGGAGGAAGTGTTGTGATACACACCAGCCAGTGAAGTGGCTTCAGTCACACCCAAATTGCTGATTCACTCACAGCTGATGGTACGAGTGACGGTGACATGAGTGTTTGGAATCCTAATGATCTGTACATTTAGTCTCAACTGCACTGGTGGATGTCCATGCTGTATTTTCAAAACCATGGCTAAACTAGCATGACTTATGAAATAAGCTTTGTAGTTGTCCACATGGTGCTGTTCTCCTCTGTGCTCCAGTAGTGGATGTGCTTCTTCCTGCCTAAGCTCAGAAATTTGCCTTTTCCTCTCTTACTTGGAAGAGCAAGGAAGAGTAAAAGCTCATCATCGAAATACCATAAGGTGCAGTAAGGTCTGAGAATGTGCTGAAGAACTGTAGTTCTATGAATTGCTTGGATAAGACATTGTGTTTGGGATTACATGGTGAGAATAGTATAAGAAATGGACTTGGATAATTTCTGGAGAAGTTTTCTTCAGCTAGTTGTGGTTGATATGCCTGTGTGGACTTGTGGACTTCTCATCCTTACTGTAGGCTAATAATTAACTGACTTCTTATAAATTCTCACTGGAAGTCTTAGAATTGCAGAAAATTGTATTTTATAAAGATTTCATTTTATGAAGAGTAAAAGTTTTAGATTTCTTTTTATCTATTTTTTTCTGTGTAGTTAGAAATACAAACCACACAAGATTTAAAGATGTAAAATTTGCTTTTGAGTAGCAAGTCTGCTTATTAATATTCATGTGGTGAAAAGACTGTGAAAGAAGAGGAGAGATCATAGAAAATTAAGTATATGAAACATGATACAGTGCTCATTTTGACCAGGACAAGGGATTAGTATCATACTTGAACTAGATAGTGTACATACCAGAAGAGAACAGGTGCACCTTCTCACTTGACCAACTTGCTTTCCTCCCACTTGATAATCCTACAAGTTTCAGGGGGGCTTAAAGTGTGGGGGCTAATGGGAATCCCATAATTTATAATCCTCTAAATGAGAAACTCTACTTTATGTAATTTTTCTAATGTTAAAAATTGGGTTAGCACTATTTGACAAAAATGTATCACAGCCTTGTGCTTGAGGGTATAATATTCTTGGTCTTGCATGGCTTAGAATCCAGTAATGCCTGTAAGCCCTATGGAACAGAATGCACTCAGCCTCATACTGTACAAGTACATGCAATTAACCACTGACAGTGAAAACTAGTCAGTTTTTTCTTAAAAGCTCTTAAACTTGGATAAAGTCATACTGTATTAGGTGAATACTAGCAGCTTTCTTTTGTAAGTGTGGATTTTGATGCTTACTTTCCCTTATTTAACTAGTTACACAGATTTGTTTTTCTTCCTAAACGCTACTAAGATGTATTTCTCATTCTATAGTTTTCCATTTGCCCAGGAAGAAAAACATTTTTGGATAAGTTTAGAATTTGTCAGTCTGCATGCTAGTAAACAGTATTTTAGCAACCCCTGAATGGCCTAGAGTGTTTATTTTCATTAGTGCAAAATAGTATGTGTCCTTTGCTCCTTGTTTCTTTATGCTAGAATGTTACCTTGCTGTAAGCACCTTAATCATGCCTAATGTCTCCAGACTGCGTTTTAGGACAGAAATCTCATTTTCCCTTTAAGCTTTATTTGGTTTCATTACTTATATACTGTTGTATCAATGCCTGAGGATTGAATGAGCAAGGGGAAAGGTTTGTAGTTTTATGAACCTTGCAAAAGTTTTTACCTTAACTTGGATTAAGTCTGCTCAGTTCTTATTTTGGGCAAATCTAGGAAAAGGAACAGCTTTTGAAATGTCACACTAAGGAAAAATAAATGTTTACATTGAGTTGGGGGGGAAAAAACTCTTCTCAATGTTTTGTGGTATCTAGGGAAAACATAAAAAAAAAAATATTCAGAAAGAGGTAAACATACAGTGTTCCTCCCAACAAAACCATTGCTACTGGCAGGGTTTGTTTCAGGGAACCTGAGTGAAAGGTTGCATCATAGTTCTTGAAGCTTAAAGAGACTTTCTGTGCCATCCATTTGTAAAATCATTTATGTACTATGTAATCCTTATCTCTTGAAAATAAAATTCCATGAAATAATTATGTAAAATTGTATAGCTGATGTATATAAAGGTTGATACATTCCATGAAGCCAAGTCCCTGGAGTATGGGAGTTTCTAACATGAGAAGAACAACAGGTAACAACTTGCTACAACCTGCTGTAGCTTGGGATCAGCGAACTCCTTACCATAGCATAGAATTGTCACGAGTAATAACGAATGTGTGTATTAAGCTGTGGTTTTGTTTTTGCTGTGGTAGTACTGAAGTAGGGGAATAGATTTCATTATCATTTTATAATTGGTGTAGGGATTATCTTCAAGAAGGTTGAGAAATGCTATATGAACCTAAATATGTATTTTAGTTATAACTTAGAATAAATACACAGAAGCATTTGGAGCAGTTTTTCTTTTAATACAATACCAAGAAATATTCAATAATGCTTATAAAGGTTATTTTCATCCTTACTTTTTTTTAACTTGAACAAAAACAGAGTAGCAAAAAAGTCTGAGGGCAAAAGAGATGCTTGAGATAGAGTGTAGGTCAGAAACATTCCTTTTAATGAGGGCTGTAAAAATGAGGAACTTCCAAGGTCAATGTCTTTCTAGTTATTTATAATTTTTTAATGTAAAAGCTTTTATTGCCTTTCCCATATGCAAATTACAACCCTGTGTGAGCTGATAACAATGAAGGCAATGTGAACTTCCACAGTCAGAAGAAGTTTATAGGCAGAAATGTGTGAACCACTGAATTCTCCTGAAACTTAGCCAGCTGTTTTAGTCAGAATAGAAAGATTTCATCCTGTATTTTTTCCTCACTGTTCTAGTCAGTGAACTGAGGTTGACTGGCTGATCATATTAGAATATCCAAGCTGTTGTTTTGTGCATATTTGTACTTAATTATTGGAGATGCTTCTAATTTTATGTATGTAGGAACAACAACCAAGACGAGAACATGTATTTGGATTTTTCCAGAATAGAGTGAGGAAACTGAACAGAGATCAATCAAGAAAGTGGATTCAGTTCTGCCCCTGGGAATGTAATAGCAAAGCTGCTAATTGTTTTGGCTTTCAGAAGCATTAATGTTCTGTTTAGAAGGTAAATAGTTATAGAAACACAGAGAATAGGCAGCCCAAACTATTATTAGACTTCACAAACATTGTGAGTTGTTTTGACGTCTATCTCAAAAAATGGAAATTTGAGATAATTTGGGGGTAGTGTAATAACAAGGAGTAAGTTATACACACAGAAGACCAGATTTGGAATCTGTTGGGAAAGATGCTACTTAGGGACAAACAGTAGAAATTTTCAAAATTCTGACTAACATATAGAACAGTAGGAAACAAATCAGTCATTCTTAAAACAAGAAATCTGAGCATAAAATAGAGTAACAAGCAGAATAGTTAACAGAACAGAAAACCCTGCTTGATATGATTTAACAACTATATAACCTTAACTTGGGATGCTCTGAGTGCCAAGAATATGTCAGTGATTTCTATTTAAATAATGAAGAAACTCATGGATGAGAAGTCCATCAAGCACTGTTAAACACTCTGAACCAGTCTCAGTGTCAGCCAGGGAGCTCCAGAGGCTGTGAAGGTATGCAAAGGAAACTTCTTCAGCTTCCTTCTTTTCCAAAGAGCTTGCTGTTGGGCACTGAAGGGTCAGTGTAGTCTTTCAACCACTCTCATTAGTATCTTTCAGTAGTTCCAGTGCAGTGTAGCTGTCCTTGGGATTTCATTGAAGGCTGGAGTTTTGATCATTTACCAGAGTTAGAGGGTAATCTTAGTGATAAAGATGACCTTCCCCTTGCTCAGAAGATTGTCTCAAAGCCATTTACATTACTTAAACCTAGCATATGGTCTGTATAAAGAATCTTGAAAAAATAAAGGTTGCCTAACAGCATGGGAAATGTGATTTTATACTGCAGTGAGGAATTGAGCTTCATCTCTAACCACCAAAATGGGCCTTAAATCTATGTATAGGAGTATGAAAGTTCCTTTTTTTTTTTTTTTTTCCCCACAGTGATTTAAAAACAACAAGTTTAATGCTTGCATATGGAAAGAGTTTGTGACTAATTATGTGATGAAAAACTCGTTGATAAAGTGGTGTGAGTTCAGTGGAGGGTGATGATGATGACTGAGGTCTGGCCATGTGAGAGAGGGGAACTGTACTTGGCTTGGGAAGAGGCAGCTTACAGGGAGATCTGGCTGCGGGCTGCTGTAACTACAGGCCATCTAGAAGATGGAGTCAGTGGTGCATGTCTGGGAGAGGAGAAATAGCAGACAGCAGTTGAAATAGGAGAATCTGACCAGTCTATGGAAAGAAAAAATTATGTGAGAGTAATAAAGCAGTAGAGAAGATTTCTTTATTCTTGATTGGATTTAAACCTTGAACAATCTGGATTCAGTGTGACCTTGCTTTGAGTAGGAGGATTCCACAAGATGTTCCCACCCAAACATCCCTTCCTAGCTGAACAAGTCACTGATTAATGCCACTCAGCAACTCTATTTAGATAGGATGTAACTTCTGGGGCAGTGTAAAGGGAATTGTTATTCTTAGTAATTTCACCAAGGTTTGAGTAGTAGGGTAACTTCACACAAAGGAGGAATGGCATGAGGTAACGGCTGCTGACTTTTAAGTTTTATCATTTAGGCTTTTTGATCTGCAGTAGCGTAAAAGCAGTTACAACTGTAGTTTTGAATTTGCAGAAGAGCAATCTATTCTACTTTCTAGTATTTCCCTCATTCCTTGAGGATCAGGTATTGTTTGGTTATGGATGAGTATGAATACAACCAACTACTAATCCCTTTGCTATGTGGTGAGTATCCTGAGATAGTGGGCAAGAATAAATTTTCAAACAAGTATCCAAATGGCTCTCTATGTGCAATTTGTGTATAAAAAAGTGAGCGAAAATGTCAGTCTTTACTCACCCCAGAATTTTCAATATTGAATAATCTTTATATTACAAGATTCAAGGGAATGTTACGGCTTCAAGCTAAGAGATAATGTTAACTAAAAGTTGATATTAAATAAGTGTTAAAGCTTCTTATTGCTGGCAATGGAAACAGGAGACATGAGAAATTAATGTTTTTTTTAATTATTGTTGTTGACAAGAATTTAGTTTTACACATTCCTCCTCTTTCATTTCCTTCCTGACCATGAATTTTTTTCTCTTCAAGTTCCAGCCAAACATGAGTATTACAAGGGAGAACAGAAGAAAAACAGGAAGAGAACAGAAGGAGAAACAGAATTATAGAAGAGCAATGTGTAAATCTGCTATTTTGTTAAAGGTAATTCAATTAAACAAATCTTAAGAAATAATCACAAGATGCATCATTCTTAGGTATAAACATCCAGTTTAAGTGTTGTGAGACGTTTTTTACTTAAGTGATTGGCATTTTAGGGGCATTTTAGTATTTTAACCACCAGAGGGCTCCCATATTGTAGTTCTCCAAAATCGTTTCCATGCCCAATGTAAGTGTATTTGCCAGAGACTTCAGTGGAAGCCAAATCTGCAAGTCATTACTTCGTGAACTATTTCATTTCCACAGAAGTTTTAGAATAGCAATAACCTCAGGAGTTGGCTTGTAAGATGCGAGTGATTTTGTAATTAAGTATGTGGAGACTTTAAAGGAAATCTCTGCTGTTCTCTTCAAAACTAAAATGTGTTGATCCAAATCTTAATATCTGTCAAGCTCTGTTACTGTTGTTGGCACCATTGCTTTCCAAAGCATTCAAGCCTGTAATTCAGTGCCATCATCAAAACCTCCATTTCTGTAGATACATATGACTACAGCAAACTCTTGATTTGCAGAGACTAACAAGGCATTTCACAATTTTTTTTTTTTTCAGTCAATTACAAGTGGAAATCTGAAAATCTTGCCATGAAGAAGAGCTGAAAATAAGCACCTATGTGAGTTGAAAGTCAAATCAGTGTTGTTCGTATTTGCTACGTAAATATGTAGAGCAAATACAATTTTTAAAGAATTTGCTTTCTGTGTCACTGTACTTAATACATTAGAGATTTTTAAAGACTTAAGGTCAATATCTTCAGCCTGAATAAGAGAAGTCTTCAGAACATAAAGTAGCTTTCCAGCATGTAGAAGAAGGTTATAAAAAAGACAAAGCTAAGCAGTTCAGTAGTATGTGGCAAGAGAATGACAGCTGGCATGAGCTGAAAAGAGAGGTTCTAAGTGAATTTAAGGGGAAACCTCCTCAACATGAGGACAGTATATCAGTGTAGCTAACTGCCTGGAGAGGTCATACTATGTTTTGTACTGTTGTCCCTCAGAAGCAAGCACTGATTTCTGCGCTCTGGTGATAGGAATCAGGGAACAGCACAGAGCTGCATTACGTGGGGGTTAGGGAGAGGTTTTTTGCTATAGGGTGGTGGGACTCTGGAACAGGCTTCCCAGGACAACGGTTACAGACTGAAGCTGCCAGAGCTCAAGAAGTGCTTAGACAGTGCTCTCAGATATAGGTTTGAATTTTGAGTGGTCTGTGATGAGCCAGGAGTTGGACTCCATGTTTCTTCTGACTTCTTTCCAACTTGGAATATTCTGTGATTCTCTGTCCTTGGAAGCTCTTAAGGTCAGAGATGTTCTGCAGCTATGTTAATTGTATCATATGCTACCAAATAGTACTCACATTGACAAACTGCTCCCTTCCTCACCTAGTTTCATCAGTTGTTTATTTTTATTTTGCTTATAATATTGTGTCAGTTCATCTTTCACATACTTTGAATATTCTTCAAGGTGAAGATATTGTACAATGTTATTAGTCATCTAGGAGGTATATATTTTTCACCTTGTTCTGCCCAGCACAAATTACACTTGCTGATCTTTCAGAAATTATTTGTTTCGTTTCTGTTCTCTTTTAAATAGCATTCTCACTGTGTAAATACATTTAAACATTTTGTGTTGTATTGCAATTGAGTCATGGCCTGAACCACTGATTGAACCTCTGGGGAAAGGACCTGGTCAGTTCTGGGAGCACAGGTGAAGGCAATTCACCTGTGTGACAGGAAGGGGTGGAGCCTGGCTGCACCACTTTTAAGGGCTGACTGCCACTGGGGAGGGAACTCTTCCTGGAGATCCCTCCTTGGTGAATCTTTCCCCTACAAATGAGAATCTTCTGATATGGGTGAGCAGTCTTTCATTTCTTTGTAAGACCTCCCTGTTGTACCAGTCCTTCCATCATCACATTTCTGTTGCAATCACTTTCCCATTGTATTGATCTGTCCAATTGCTACAGTTGTGTAAGCATATAGATTGTAATTGTCATCTTTGCTTGAATGCAGTTTTATACTGACAGCATTTGGATCACTTTTAAAGCCTTAGGTGTTGTAGATGATAGTACACACGTTTTATTCTATTTTGATATGAGTTTTGCTGACTCTTGGGGTAGTTATAACAATCAGTATGCTTTACAAACGTGTGTAAAATGTAAGCACCTTCTTTAAGCATACCTAAAATCCACAGGATAGAATTTCAAATAAATCTATTAAAAGAATCAGTATTTTTGTTGTTAGTAACAATTTTTTCCTTTACAACAAGGACTCTAGATAAATTAATACTGGTTTTTGAGGGCCTCCAATGTGACTGTCTTCAGAATCAGACTGTGTACAAGCCTTTGTACACCTACTAGTATGAGAGCAATTTTGATCGGTAGTAATGACTGATGGACTATGATTCAAAATAAAGCAGTTAACAAGTTAGGCTGAAAGTGAAGACACTGCTAAGCAACTTCAAAAAACTTTGTCCTACTTTTCTCTTTCCAGATTTTCAATTGCAAAAAAAAGCTGTTGCATGTGGTTAGAACATTCCCTGAAAACTGGAGATTACTCAGCTGGCTTGCTGGAAAACTATTGCATTACTTCTAGATAAACATCATTAAACAGAGTGCAGTGCTTAGCTTCACTCAGCTGGAAAGCTGCAAGTAACTTGCCATTGACATGAAAATGATTGAGTAGGCAATAATGTTCATTTTTGTAGGGTGACTGAGGTTGCATAGGAAAAAGGTGATGCAGTGAAATTAAATGTGAGGTTACATGTGCAGAAACAAATACTGCAGGGCTGCACTTAGTGAGTGGCTTACAGCATTTTGGAAAACTAACTCTTTGAAAGCTAATGATAGCTTCCAGCACACAGTGATAGCTTAAAAATAAAAAAAAATAATAAAAAAAGGGCTTAGCAGAAAGAAATGCTAGATATCAGTAACGCAGTTGTGTTACTACTTTGTATGGTATTCATGGTATAACTATGTCATTATGTTTGCTTCTGGCATCCAAGCATCCTGTATTTGATGTCAGTGAATTGGAATAGTTTCAGGAAAAAAAAAAAAAAAAAGCAGAACAAAATAAACAATCTTGCATTGTAGTAAACTAAAGACAAAGTAAAACCCCCTCAATCCTTTTTGATTATTCAGTAGAACATTTGGGAATAGCCTAAGTTTGTATATGGAAGTAAGACTTATGCCTTTAAATATCACTACAGAATCATGTTGTGATCCAAAACCTGAAGCATGGAGCTTCAGAAGAAGTTTGAGGAGTGGGGGAAAAAAGCACGTGTCAAAAAGAAAGAAAAATCTCATAAATACATTCAATGCAGCAGCTCATACTCTAGGAACATCCTAGAATCTTTGTAAATCCATATGGTTTAAAACTGGATCACATCTCTCTGAAGAAGGGAAGTTATCACTCATCTACAATTACTGCATTTGTCAGAAATGACTGGATACCAGTTAGGAGGCAAAATATTTTTGATGGAAAGTATAACATCAGGAAGAAAAGCTGCCAAGTCAGGACCCCTAGATTCTTCTCTAGAAGTAATTTTGATTGCACAGATCTAGAAACTTCACTAGGACAAAGCTGGAACAGAGAGGAAATCACAAGAAACATGAAGATGTAGTCAAGGAAGGCTTTGAGCAGCAAAAAGAGCGAAACCCAAGTTTTGGAGATAACAGTTAGGAGAACAGATTTTGCAAGACCTGGAGGACCCTGAAATTTACATAATAACTGAACACTGCAAGGTTTTCCAGAAAGATCTGTCCTGCAAAGATACGGTAGGCTATGAGTAAATTTGTTTTTGAACACTTTTATAAGTTTCACGTAATGTGGTTAAGTTTCTTCTGTTTAAGGAGTTATTTCATTAAAATTTCTATCAAATCTGCTTTTAGATATTTCATCTTATACTTAGATGAATCCTGAGTAACATGCATGTAAATCCACCACATGAACTTGGCTGGTATGATCAGGTACAGAGACCAAGGACATGAAAATCCATTGATAGTAATATTTTTTTTTTCCAAGAACTGCTGAAAAAAATGGTGTTTCCTTTCTAGTGTTAGCTTTTCATAGTGTTTAGCTAAGTAACAGTAGTATTAGTAACAGCTAAAGAAAGCATCAGTTAACCTGTACACAGCTGGGTAGATCACCAGGGATCTGCCTAGAGGTCTGAGTTCAAGAACTCCAGCAACCACTGTGGGAGAAGAATATAAGGAATCTACACACAATGGGGGTGGCAATGGTTGAGAAAGCAAAACAAGCCACATCAATATCATAATAATAGTATAGTATTCTCTTCACCATATTTTTAATGACTGTTATAATCTAGATGAGAAGCTCATGAACATAGCTTCTAAACAATGTTTTTCCTATCTCTGGGTTGCAAAGTTATGTCATCTTCATTATTATTCATCTTATGTTATTATTGCTAAATGCAGCACAGACTAGGATCCACAAAAGTCTTTCTAGCAAGCACTATAATTCTGGCATATTTGTTTCTTACTGCCTTCTTTCTAAGGGTGACAGGAAATGTTAATAGTACTGTATGTTGAGATCCTGGCTTCACTGAAGTCTCCAGTCCTCCTAGAAGGTAGCAAAAGAGACATAGAAATTAAATGTGAATTTCTGTCACAGCTCCAGTTCATGGCAAAGCGCAGATTGATATCAGTAAAGCCAATAATTCAATCTAAATAAAGGAAGTTATCAGTATTATCTTTAATCTGCAGTAGGACAGAAACATTTTGGTTAGGTTGACTTTCCTGTTCTCTTTTTCTCATTCTTTCCAGTGGGAATCTAGAACGTAACTGTGTGGCAATAGTCTCCTGCAGGTAATGGAGAAGAGAACAACTCAGTGCTGAGTAGGTAAATCTGAAAGCAGAAGGCAAGGTTATTAAAGGGATTAGTATCAGTCTTTGGGGAGAAGCAATAAGAAAGCAAATGTTGAAACTTCATTTCTAGAGGAGGTTTATCAAAGATGTTAAAAAAATGCCTCACTGTAAGTTATCATATTGACTTTTGTTTTCAAGGTTTTGGAAATGAAATTGATAAAGCTATGATCAGTGGGCTTTTTTGTGTTGTTTTTAACAGTGAAGTGTCTTTCTTCTGTTTTCATGTTTTGTGATTTTCCTCCTCATATCAGTGTTGACAAGTTTTCAGTAAATGGCTGCTAAAGGTGCTTCTTGACTATCTCAAACTTCTAAGACATTTTAGCAAACAAGTAAACAGAAAGAAAAGGTATTTCTGTAATATTTGCAAGGAAAAATATGGCTTGATTTTACTTGATTCTTTAGGCATCAAAGCTTACTCCCCTTCACTACAGTAGTGTCTGTTTAATGCCTATGCCCAGTTACGTGTGTATAATTAACCATATACTATGTCCCTGATATCTCAATTTGTTATTAAAGGGGAAAAAATAAAGGATGCTAAAATTGCTGACATCTAAAGAACAGCTGTGTTGCATGATAATCTGCCCCAAAAGAGAGAGTGTTTCTGATGTAATCAAAATTAGCTTATTTTTTACTCTCTCCGTCAAAGAGATGGAAAGAAATTCAATCCAACCCATTTGGCTACTCAGTGTGAAAGAGACTGCTGTCTGAACAATAGCTCCTATTCCTTTGATAATTTATTGCCTCGGCTCCTGACTGTCATATTAACCAATACATGATGCATAGAAAGATTACAAATCATTAAATAATTTAGATTTTTTTAGACGTATTAGGTCTATCTTAAATATTAATGACAATCAAATACCCTGGATGTCTTATTAGCCTTTGGAAAACAATAAGAAAATTGAAGTGATATGTAAATGAGGAATTGGGTGTGTGTAGGTGAGCATGTGTGAGCATTTGGATTTTCAGTAAGGAGCCAAAACAGCTGCCAAAGAAATGCAGAGAGAAAACTTACTAATAAAATAGCCAAATACTTACATAGTGATACAGCAACAACAAAATAAATAATTTTCATTCAATTCCAATGGTATTGATAAGCCAATAAAAAAGAAAGGAAAAAAAAGTACTGGAGTTGTATTACATGCAGTGTTTAGTGCTATCTGGTCCTAATGTATTTCAGATTATAATATATAAAAATATGAAAGAAAAAGCTATTCTTAATATATTGCTGATACTTAATAATGGTGAATGTCTGTAGCTTTATCACATAATTTGTAAAGTTTTCATAACTATTTCAGAAACAAATTTTGGCACATACTGCTCAGTGCGGTGGTACAAAATATTTAGTGGAGTTATTCCAACTTGAAATAGGTTTGATTTGTAGAATTCAGTATGACATTAGTTCAGTCTGAACAAGCTAAGAGAAACAACACTAAGAATAGCAGTGCTAAAATATTTAGGTCCTTAATTTGTTAAAAGGCGTAGTTCATCTTTTTGTGGATAGATAAATAGTTGCTTATGACCACACTGCCATGATACAAACAGCTTGCCATGCATTCTGTTGTTTTATGGGCTCCACAAAGAAACAGGCAATGAAAAATAATCTGAACACTTAAAACTTTTTGTTGTTGTTGTTGTTGTTGTTCGTTCTTTCATATTTAATCCACTCTAGTTGTACCAGAGGAAGCATATGCATGTTGCTGGTGTCTGTATTGCATAACAAGCATGCGTGCAGTCAAACAACTGACCAGGGATGAGAAAAACAGAAAAGTGGTTTTCCAAAACAAACCAAATGTAAACCACATCATGTAGCTTGTTTTAGTGTGGAGTACCTATAAAGGCTTTAAAAACCACTTCTCAATTGAAAACATGAAGACCGGGTTTTAGACAGCTGTGTTGGACATTACAGATTTGGACTCAGTATTTCCATATGAATATGCTGAAATCCTATGTGCCAGCTATAAAGCTGTGAAATGTGCTAATTTAAATTGCCATAATGCAAATGTTAGAAAAAGGAAGGTAAAGAACAAAAAGTATCAGCTGAATTTAAGTTTCTGTAAACCAACCAATTAGTACATAGGCTTACAGGGCAACTTCATTTTAGGCAAAGATAAGGCCAGAAGTCTGTACTTCCTATGCTTTTTTTTGTTTGTTTGTTTTAAACTTCAGGAAGATGAAGTATAGATAACCCAAGAAATGACAGGTAAAATTCCATTTTAACTTTAAACAAATGTCTGTGCAATTTCTAGCTTTGCTATTAGACATTGCCTCACACTGTTTTGTCCTTTCAGTCAGGCTATCTTTACTTAGTTGTATTTAAATATAGAATATTGCATTGAAAAATGAAATTATTTTAGGTCGTGATCAGTTATTTCAATTTTTCAGAAAAAACTATAAATTTGCCTGTGCAAGACTGACGTGTGACGACCATTTTTTATTCTATTATCTGCAATCATATGCAAGATTCTGAATTCATGCAGAGCAATTTACCATTGTTGTTTAGATGCACAGTTTCAGTACTGTAAGGAAACAAAGCAATAAAATTACAATTGTTCGTATTTAGTGCTTAATAGGAGGGCACAAGAATCTGGAAAGTCAAAATAAGATCTGTTTACTTTGCCTTTCATCTAGGAGGATTTCTCAGGATTTAAACGTTATATATTTAATCCAGTATTTTAGAGATTCATTAAGCTTGTCTGCCTAAAACTATCTAGCTATGATCTCAGATGTTAAAGAACTCTCAATTCAATAGCATGTAAGGGCTGCAGCTAGAAGCGAGACAGAAGTACAAGCCCAAAAGTCTAGCTGTTATGTGCCCTCTAAAATAACCTACTGACCTATACACATTGCAAGTCAACATCCTACGTCATGCTGTATATAAATGTATTTTTGGGAGCTGGGGAACTTGTGCACTCATGGAAAACATGGAAAATGACAATCGAAAGTAAGAATCTCACGGAATCTTTTATTTCATGACTATTTGTATATTTCTACACTGCAATTCATGGAAATTTTGCTGTTCATTAGGAACGCAAACTAACCATTAGCTCCTAGAATGGCCAACATTTACATACACAGAAGGTTCTTAAAGCAAACCTAGCTGTACAGTGTATCAAGTGTAGCATTAGCATCAGTCTCTAAATGTTTTATTTTTGGCACTTTGAATGTGGTTTGGACACGATGGATTAATTTAATTTTGGAGCAAGGCCAAGCAATTCAGCATTTTGATGAAGCTTGGATTAGCCAGGAGCTGCTCTGGTTTCTTCCCTTTCCTGATAAGTGGAATCTAGATATACCTTGTTGATTATTGAACTTAATCTTGATAGTTAGTTGTTGACTCCACACTGGCACTGGAACTAATTATGCCCTAACAACTTAAAGTAACATCTTGCAACTACTTAGTGAGGAAATATTTTCACATGCAAAATATTCAAATGCATTTACAATCCATGGCTTTCTCAGTTACAGTCTATAATTATTGGAATAGTGGTATCTGACAATGATATATACTAAATAATATATTGAATTACATAATTACATATATATTGAATTACAAAAACTTACAGTAGAAAAATGACCTTAGGCCAAAAATACAAAATCTATCAAAGGTAACTGTGTTGCTGAGATGGTATCAGCCTGTTTTCAGAGAGTACATCTTGAGGCCCTGCTTGTCTGTGTGACAGGGAAGGCAGCTTTTAGGAATGTACAAAGTTTTATGTAATGAATTGTTTTCACCCAAATCTTTTCAGTATGAATAATTATGGCTTGACATGTCTCCAAATCTATTTGGGATGTGTTAAAACTACAGGGCCAG